TTATCTCTAGGACTACACAACAGCAATTCAAATTTGTTTGGCTGGGCAGTTAGAGGGAGCTTGGTGCCTCACAGCTTTTTTGGGTCCTGCTTAAAATGGGGTTTGCCCACTACACGCAATGTTTTTTTCTTACTCTATGTAATACCCACATGTGATACTCTCACAACTCATCATTAATGTCTGTACAGCTCCTGTGGCAAGGGCATTGTCCAAACTGCTTCTTGGTGTCTCAGTAGCTCACTTCTGGAAGGCTTTTTTATTCATAGCCGAACATGGTGAAAAGTAAATGCTCCAGGTGAGTAAAAAACCCAAATCCAAATCCTATCAAACCAAGGATTTTTTAAACATTGGGAGACATCCCAGCCATAGGCTTTCACATTTCCACAGTCCTACTGAAAATAAACTGGAAAATTGTATATGGTGCAGGACTAGCACAAGCCTGCCTGCTCTTGACAGTTAATCCACCTGGCCTTTCAGACATTGACAGCATCATGCAAAGAAAATCAATTACCCCAGGTAATCAAATCCACTGTCTTCCCCCCAGCTCTCTCATCCATTTAATCTAATTCTCGAGTATTGACATTATTGCAGGCATAATGGGAACAAAAGTGCTTCATTAAAGGCAGCACCTGGACATGTTCAATAGTGTAGCAAGAGCTAACAAAGCTCTGACAAATGCAGCGGGGCTGTTAAACATAAACTGACAAGTGGTACAACCAAAAATATGTGCTTCTCAAAACAACCTCCGAAGGAATGGAGGTTCCAGGTGGAGGTGCCTTGCTCCCAGGGAGGTTTCATCCTGGAGCGCTTTGCCACCCCATGGCAGGAGTGCAGGTGAGCAGTGCCTGAGCACAGCCTGAGCTGGAGATGCGCAGGTGGAAGGAGCGGCAGCGATCCCCCAGGTAACACAGCCACAGTGCTCTGCCTGACAGAGGGTAAGGCACCCCAGGTCCAACAAGAATGTGCTTTGGTCTTGGTGTGAGTAATCCTACCAGATGCCAGATGAACATTAAAATAACTCATTAAGCTTCAGTTACTTCAGTGGAAAAAGCAGTAAGCAGTGAAATAACAAAAGAAGTTCACTTGACAAGTAAAGGCTTATCAAGAGGTGAAAAAATTTTAGTCCAGTATGGGTCTAATGTAAAATAAAACCATGAAATGATTAATAATAATTTATGATGTTTTATGTGTGACTCTTGATACATGTAATGTGTGACTGGGTAACAGGATGCAAAAATAAAAGGCAACCTCAAATTTGAGCCATTTTATATGCTTATTATTTTCCACTCAAATAATCGGTAAGAGCTGCAGAGCATTGTAGCCCCCAGGTTACTGAGAATTATTACAATAAATTAAAATTTTTACAATAATTTAACTAGTCATTCAGTATAAGAAAGTAGACTTTCATGGACAAACATTTCTATTAGAAAGTAGACCTTGAATTAGAATGCTAACTGATTCATCCTCTGCTTCATGAAATTTATGGTAATCAGAAAACTTTATTTCCTGATGAATTCTAAGGGTAGAACACATTTTATGGTGTTAGTTTCATTCTTTCCATTCCATCCTCTGGGAACAGACTAATGGAATAGAATTGTTACAGTAATTCCAAATAAATACTCTACTACTAGTGGATTTTAAAAGCCCTAAACATTAGCCTCACCTGTTACCTCATTAAAATGGGGAAAAATTAAATCAATACAATAGACTAGTTGGTGTTTTCTCACTCTTTCTTTGCCTTTTGCTTAGATACATATTGTACTATTTGGTCTATTTTTCAGGTCGTCACTCAATTCTGCATTTATTCCGTACTCATTTGATTAGCATTCCAAGCATTTCCAATTACGTTAATATGTCCAAAATAATATCTAATAAGTGTGAATGTAATCAAGTTAAGAATGGGGACACTTTGATTCATGCTGCACCCCATTTCATGTATCAATTATTACTTAAGTGGTAACGCTAATGTTGGCTTATTTGTAAGGGTTGTGTGTTATTGGACAAGCAATTCAAGCATCAAAAAAAATCTCACATCCAGACTGCTGATCAGAATTTAACATACCTCCAGGAATCCCTGGAATACCAAGAGCTCAATGTGTTTTCTTTTACTCTTGGCATTACAGCTGCTGAAAGCCATTACAGATTACAGTGTTGTTTAATCAGTGCTGCAAATGTTACAACCACCCTCTGAGGTTACAAAATGTAAGGAAAATCCACTAAAAAACCCAACTTACCCAACATGGGCTCCAATACAGATGCAGAGGACTAAGTGCACAGAGGAGTTAAATAATTTCTCACTGTGGGCATCTAGATTTTTGTGTTCAAGGAGTATTCTCTGCAAGCTGTTCTCTGAAACAATTTCATTACTCTCTACCAGCCTGAGGGCGGAGTCAGCTGATTTTCCCAGCTGATGAATGGCTCTATTGACAGACTCAAGCTCTGGGTTAATAACTGAGCTGCTCCCTTCTAGGAGTAGCTTAAGGCAGGACGTGGTTTGGAGCCCCAGAGGTCCCACTGCTGCAGGGGGCACACAGGGGACAAGGGCTGACTCCCTGGGTGACAGGGCAGGTTTGTGCACGGGGACAGACTCATGTCCTGAATTAGCACACCCCTTGCTGAGGCTGCAACAGCCCCAGGAGAAAATTAATAAACAGAGAACCATAGGCACTCTGAAAGATGAGGATAAGCTTTACAATAAACCAGCATAAGTTTTAGTTTTATCTTACCAGGTTGTGCTGACAGCCTTAACATTACAGGCCACAGCAATTAATTTGGAGTGTTGTCATTTACTTGCTTGTCTCCAGCAGTCACAGCCCAGGTGTTGTTTGAGGTGATCTGAAATCCCAGTGACCACTGCTGCTCAAGGGCTCTGGTAAGAAGAGGAGAATATGCCCTGTCCCAGACTTCCAAATGCATCACAGCTGCCTTAGAGCCTTGAAATGCAGACAGGTGCTGAAAAAGAAGGTCTTAAAGTGGGAATTTAATGTTCTCCAGCTGGGCACTGTGAACTGAAACAGGCAACATCACATTGATGCTTTGCATTTTCAAAATTTTCATTCTGATTAAATTATGACCTGGGAACTTGAAAAAGGTTTTAAGATGTAAATAGGAAGACTTCCCTAGAAATTTGAGGATTTCTGATATTGTGTATTAGCTAAACTTATGCCTGGAGTTCTACTGGGAATAACAATCAGCACTGTTTCTGTGCCAGTTGCTTACAGAATTTGCTTTAAAGCTGTTTTCTCAGTTATAATGCTACAATAGGCCACATGAGACCATACTTGCTTATTCTCCCACTTTCAGCTGCTCTGTAATAGAAGCAGCCAGGGACTTTTTTTTCCCACTGGGTTTCCAGCTTCTTTCTGCTTGACCGATGAACGGAGATAAACACTACACACTTTATGCAGCTAAACAGACTGTTCAAATGAGATGTGGGGGAACTGTCCCAGAGCAGGCACACTCAGCACATATTCTTGACTTTTAATTGGATCAACACTCAACATGTGCAGGAAAGAATGGCTTTTACATTTCTTTAATTTCTCCCTCCCACAGATGCAATAACAAATAAGAGCTTTAGCAATAACGATAGAAAGGCAAACAACAGTAGAGGAATCTGCTCCATTTTTTGCCATGTAGAGATGTGTTTTCCTCTCTTTGTCTGAGCCTGAGATCTTCCCATGTTCTCTAACCTGTTCCAGTGTAGTCGCAGCAGATAAGTGACATCAAATAGCCTCTTAGGGCAACATGTCTGTACCTGGCTTTAAGCTAAAGTTAAGAAAAAGGACCAAGGGTAAAGGTTTTAAACTGAAAGGAGGTAGATTCAGACTAGATAAAGATGACATTTTTATGGCATTGGTAAAACACTGTCACAGGCTGCCCAGAGAAGCTTTGGGTGCTCCATTCCTGGAAGTGTCCAAGGCCAGGCTGGATCGAGCTCTAAGCAACCTGATACAGCAGATGATGTCCTTGCCAAGGGCAGGGGGTTGGACTTAATGACCTTTTAAGGTCTTTTCCAACCAAAATAGCTCCATAATTCTGTGAAAAAGCAAACAACATATGCTTACTTCTGATATGAGCTGAGACTAGCATGCTCTAGGAAGAAAAAACAAGGCCTGCACTGCTGGAAGATACAGGGTTGAAACCTCTCAGCCTTTGACCTTCCTCAAAAGTCATAAACTCTTTAATGCCAAAAAACAGCACCAGGATTTGAAACTGAAGTGGTCAAAATCATCTTTCCCCTGCTCCACACCTTGCTCCAGCACCACCATACTTTACTACTGGTGACAGTATCAGGAAGGGTTTTGTGTGTTCCTGTTTATCCCTTTCATCAACAATATTGTTGTCACAGGAAATGATTTCTGACAGCAGATGTTAAATTCTGTCTGAAGTGGCTTTTCTTAATGCAGCCTTTGTTGGTAATCACATTCTCTTAAGTGGTTTCCCTTGTCCTGAGTTTTGTAGAACGGTATTTCCCCAGAGAAAGTGCTCTGAAAACTGCCAACAGGTCCTGAAGTAGAGGGCACACAGGAAAACAACATCTGCAAAACGACCACCTTTCCCTTCTGGAAAGACTTGAACAAAGCTACTCAAAGGCTCCAGAGCATTTCCACAGCAAATAGAGAACAAGGCTGCAAGTTTCTACCTGGGGCTGCTGGGATGTGACAATTGCAAGAAGAAAAACTGAGACAATCAGCGAGAAGTGTCAAGCAAGCTCTGTTACAGAGGTATGGCAGAAATAGAAGCCATGGGAAGCGCTGCCCCGACTTTTGTCTGTCAGGGATCCCTCCCCACTTCTCTGTCCAGCATCCTTTCCCCGGACGCGCTTGAAACTGAACAGGGGTGCGAGCGAGGTGAAGCAAAGGAATGGCAGGGAAGGGGCAGCGCTCAGAGGTTCCTGTGGGGGCTGGAGCGAGCAGCAGCAGGGCAGCATCCATCGGGAGTGCGGCATCCATCGGGAGTGCAGCATCCATCGGGAGTGCCGCCCCCCCGGCCGAGGGCGGGCTCGAACCCGCGGCGCGGCGGGGCAGAGCCGGGCCGGCTGCCAGGCTGAGGCTGCACCAGCGGCTCCTCGCGCTCCAGGTAAGGCGCGCCCGCCCCGGCTCCGCGGCTCCCTCCCAACCTCCCTTCCTCCCCATCCCTCCCCCTCCGCTCCCTCAGCTTTTATATTGCTTAAAAAAAAATATATATTAGTGTTTCCTCTCTGAGGTATCATTGTGCTGCTGGATTAAAATGACTTAATCAATTAGAATAACTCAAATTTCAATTAATAAGTCAAATCGAAGATGTGCATCTCTCCCCTAAAAGGCTGCAAAACCTTGCTTTTAAAAACAGCCAGTGGCACGTGGAGAAACTTCTCCAAGAAAGATAATGCAAGAGCTAGCTCCCATTTTCCACCCCTGTTCCTCATCAAATCTGCATCTCACCTCAAATGGATATATAGATGAACAATGCACTAGTACTTAAAAAGGTGTACAAAATTTAAAGTGGATCTCATTGATTAAACCTGTTATTGAGCACTGAGTAATGAAGAAAGGGAATATTTGAATTTAATGAAAGCATTTTATTTCTCTAGGAGGCTCTTTTTTCTAAATATTAAAAAAAATCCTATACACACAATTTCAATGGCTATTCAAACTTTATAAACAGGATTCTGAAAGGTTGTGCTCCATCCTGAACACTCCATGTAATTCTAATAACCTGTCATAGGATAAAGCTAAAGCAGTTTTTGCTAAAGAAAAAGGAAGATCCTGCAATAGGCACACACAGATTTAACTAATCTTCCCATGTGGTAGCTGTGGAAAAGATCTGAAATATATATTTTATCGGAAAAATGCCTCTTGCTTTCAAAGTCCCTCGTGCGATTTCCTCTCAGACCAAACTGCTGATTAGTTTGAGCTCAGCTGCACCTCTCAGTTGGAATAACTCCTCTGACCTCAACCTTAGCAGGTACAAAAGCTTTCAGCTGAGCCCAGGATACTCAGCTTGGACAGCATTCACATTTTGTGCATGGCTGTACAATTAAAAGCATTATACCTTGTGATTATTATTCACAAAAATACATAATTCTACTGAGTAATTTTAATTTTATTCATTTGTACCAGTCAATTCTGAATACAAAAGCTTAATAGATTTAAAAAAACCCAAAACTGCTCTAAAAACTGATTTTCTCCTTCCCAGTCTTTCATCCTGTTGCACTGCTCATAATGGTTAGTTTGTAAATCACCTGGTTACAGACACTTAACAATTCACTAAGGAATTTGAGTCTAAGACCTTGGATCCAAACTGAGAAGTAGATATTTGGTGACTAAGAAAAAGAAAGTTTTCTCAGGAGGGTTTCAGATATGCATAACAATAATCAAACCCAGAAAAGTCTATGATTCAAAGTCATAACTTGGATGGAAAATAAAGGGGCTCAGCTCAGGTGTATTCCTTTCCTTCTTCCACTTTGCTCCCAAACTAACAAGAATTGGCAACTGAAAAACAAAATGAATTGCAGACCAAGGGGCTATTCTCTGTCATAAATTTCAAAGGCACGTTGCACAACATTCACTGAGGAGAGAAGATGGATATGACTGACCCTGATCTGCTCCTGCAGGGCCCTGGTTTTTCCCTCAGGGGGAAAAAGGGACAGAGCGAGATGTCCCTCATTCTCCCAGGCCCAAGGCTGCATGGAGAGGAGCTGCAGGAGCATTACTTGGGTCCTGGACAGTTTCTACAGTGTGAGAGTGCTCAGCAAAGCTCACAATCGTCATGGTCTGTGTGGGGAGACTTGGACCCAGGTTAATGGCTGGAAGATTCGAGATCTGCTAACTCTTATAGGAACAGTGATTTAAACTGGCACAACAAAGACAGGATCTCATTTGTCTTTCCAAATCAAGTTGTTATTTTCTTGATCTGAACCAGCATATCCTGTCCAACTTTTGGGGTTTTCAACTGTTTATCTTAATGCTATCTAGGCTGATAGTGCCTGAACAAAACCCTCTCCATTTTGCTATAGGCGATAAAACCATATTATTTATCCTGTGTAAACAGTGAAGGTTTCAGTGCTGCAGGAGGGCTGTGTCTGTCCATTGTGGGTGCCCTATAAAATGCTGGTCACCTAAAGTGCTCACCAGGCAGCTGTCAGGGCTCAGAGGGTCGATGGGAGACCACCCAAGCCATCAGTGTTTGCCACCCTACAGCTGTTTGCACCTTCCTGCACAGTCAGAACCTTCCCAAAGGTGCCTTTGAGGTTTCACCCATCAGTTGCAGCCTCTGAAGATTACCTGCCTCTCTGACCCAGCTCAAACACACTCATTCTTTAAATTGTGCACAAACTGAGGGCCTCTTGAAGCCACATGTGTGGGCTGTGAATGCTGACTGTAAACCTGCTGTGGCAGAAGGTAATCCCCACTTGTTTGTGGGAGGACCTTGGAGTGTTGACAAGCACCTTAAAAAGCCAATAAAGGTCTCAGATTTGAGATTTGGATTTTGGTACAAGAGGACTCAAACATTTGCAGACTTAGGTAGAAGTCCAGCTGCCCAGATAACAGAACCAAGATGCACAGAGCAAAAAGTTTTATAAAGTCTGTGTGCACATAAACTCAACCATTAATAACACCATAAACTGCTGATTTCTTTGGGTAATTACAAATGGTAGTAATCATCAACCATGACTCAAACACCACTAATATGCCAGACTTTTGAGTGTTCAGCTATCTAAATTCATATTTAGGAACAAGGTGGAGATAAGTTACTTCGTTCTCTGCCTTTTAAAATTAGAAAATATCCTGTGGGGCACATTTTCTGTAGATTTCTCAGTAGATATAAGCAGAGCTTGTAATGAGCACTACATTTAAGCAGTCACATGAACATGTTCATTTCTTATAATCTATTCTGTGAATGTTTATTACTGCATCCATTTCTGTACACTGCTGAAACCTTTCAGTTTAGTGTTAGGCTGGTTGGGAGCAGGACATCTGGCACTTGCTCAATGAAGGCAACTCCTAGAATTGTACTGTCATCCAAAGCACCCAGTTTTTATAAATCTGAAATTAATTTTCCAGAAAAACAGTATAATGCTAACAGCATCCTTGCCAGTTATTTTGCAGCTAATCCACAATATGTAGTGTATTTAAAATGCACAGAGTGAAAACAACAACAGATAAACATATAAAATAATCCTGTCATGGGTTATGTAACTTACTCTAAGGCTTTGATGTTCATGAAATTGATAATACAGGGAACTTGGTGAGAAATAAAGACCTCAATCCAGGGCACCAAATGTCTCTCATACACTTAATTATGTAAGTATTAGCAGCATACTGCTAGTCCCTACTCCTTTGGTGGCTAGAAGTACTGATACTAAGAATTTTAAGGCTGTAACAGTAGATTTGTTTGACTTTGATTCTCACCTCCCAGTGCATTTTGAGAACAGTGATTTTACGTATAAACTCACTGAGTTGTTGTTTATGTAGTCTGAAATCATGCTATGGTCATTTTTTAAAAAATGTATTTGTCATGCTGATTTGTTTGGGATAATTTTAAAGACTCTCATGTAATGCTTATACCTATATGCTTCATATACCTATGAAGTTTCAATTACAGCTCATTTTGCTATACCAGAGAAGCAGTTTTCATTTTTGGTGAATCTTAAATTCATTCTACTTATTTAACAGTATGAGCTTCTGTTGCTGAAAAATATCTTTGACAAAAACATCTCAGGGTACAGAACCTGAGAAGATGCTTTCAGACTGGAGTAACTTCCCAAGTTTTTCATTGAGAAAATGACACTTCTCTTGCCTGGCACACATAACAACTATTGATCAGAAGATCATAGCATAACTGCACTCCAGTGTTTCACTTTGAACTATTGGCAGACACAGCAGCAATAGAGGCCTAAGAGCCCTTCAATTGCTGACATAACACTGTCATAACAGATGGCCCTGTGCTGCCTGTCTGCAGAGAAAACACGACAGGACAGCTTCTTTCTATGGGCCAAGTACATCCAACTCTGATTACTTGCCCAGGGAGACTTGCATGGTTTCGCCCATGGTAGGCAAGCTCAGATGTGCCCAGGGTTTAAAAACAAGCTAGCTGGTGTGCCAAAAGCCAGTTGTCAGCCACATAATATAATAGGATGCAGACATATGCATTTGTCCCCTTTCATCAGTCAATTCCCCAGTTAGACCTGGAGTTTTGATCCCACTGGGTTTTAGTCCTTCTTTTTAATTTGCTGCATTAAAACAAAAAAAACTTCTTGATACTTTTCACTCAAGCTGCAATCTCTGCAGTATTTAATACTGACATGAAAAATTTGAATGTGTGAAAATTTTGCATTTCTTTCTCTTTCAGGGAGTGTTAGGAAGTACCATGAAAGTACAGCCATTATAGGCAAACATGCAGATTAACCCAAAGACAGATATCATGGGTATCAGATACAACTTTATTATATTTAAAGTGCTTTGTCAGTGACTACTGCCAGTCTGTTGTATGCAGTTGACTTTTCCAAGCTGTGATGGTTTTGGCTGAAGTAATGTAAATTTTCTTCAGAGTGGCTGGAATGGGGCTATGTTTTGGATTTGTGCTGCAAATACAAGTATTGGTATTTCAGAGATGTTTTAGTTACTGCTGAGCTGAGCTTGCACAGGGTCAAGGCCTTTTGTGCTTCTTCTATCATGCCACCAGTGAGGAGGCTGGTGCTGCAAGAGAAACTGGAGGGGGCACAGCTGACCCCAGGGATTCATGTCCTCTACTTCCAAATCTTACCTTGTGACTGCCTTCCATATACCCTCTCCCTTTCTCTCATGGAGTCCTCAGTGTTTCCAGCTTCCCATCATTTCCCCTCCAACTCGTTCATTTTGATCTAACAAACAGGGTGAAGTCAAGAGCAGATAAGCTCACAGGTTACTTTGCAGTTCCAGTAGACAATGCAAGCAGAGAATCCAGAGCAGGGGAGGCAGCTTTACTTCTCTGGCACTCTGGGTGAATATCCCTCCCAAGTTTCTCTCTGCCTTTCACCCAAGCACTTAAAGACACTGTCATTCAACAGTTTGGATGTGGAAGAAAAATGCAACTGTAATGCTAATTCAGTTTACACTCTAAACCCCACCATCTGCTTTTTATTTTAAGATAATTCTACATGCAGTTTTAGATGCCTGCAGTAACAGCCATGGGAATTCAGGCATATGGCCACTACCATATGACAAAGTGTATTGTCTAATAATTTCTAGTCTTTCTCATGCATCCACTTGTGCATAAGGTACTCAAAATAATAGGCATCTTATCCTTTAATTCATTCACACAAAATTCACTTCCAGTGAAATATTTGGATATTTCTACTACCTCTGCCAGCTGTCTGCCTCAACCCATTTCAGCCTCAAAGGTTTGTGAAACTTGCATAATTCACTTTTCCTGTCATGCTGAAGATAATAAATAACTGAATTCCCATAAGAAATGTCAAAACATTGGATGACATTTTACAGTCTTAATCTGATCTGAATAAAAGTAGAAAAATGTTGTCTCATCATATGAGAATCTGGGGCAGATTTGTTACCTTCACCTCAATTAAATATTTAGAACAAGATGTGTCAATATATGCGCAATAATCTGGACAGCATGCAGTCTGTCTAGTTAAACCAAATGGCTCAATATTCTATGCAGAAAAGAGGTTATGCTTATTTTTCTAGTGTGAGAGAAAAATATTATGGGTTTGGCTGAACTAGAGTTAAATACCAGTAGTTCCGTACATACATGCATGCAGGAAGGAACCTTGCTGTGAATGTGTAGCCTTTGATAAAGAAATGTGTGACAGGAAAGGTCCAGATGTGCAGACATGCCAAGAGGAGGCTCTTCAGCAGAGCAAACCAAGCCCCCTAAGAAAGGGGCAGCAGGGAGAACGTGTGCGTGCCTGCAAGCATGTACGCACATGCAGCAGAGATTTATATCCAACTTAAGTATTATCTGTGAAACAGCTTAGGGCTCCAGCAGTTACCCGGTTCTGTCCCTTGGCTAGCTGCAGTGTCCCTCTGCAGTGAGGGCAAGCCAGCTGACATGGCAATTGGATCTCTTGACTCGTGTTTCTTGCACGGAGGTAAGAGATCTTCTCCCTTCTGTTACCTCCATGCTCTCTTTTCCCGAGCATACAAAAGTAATCCATGTACCATAGGATGGATTTGACCTATGATTTGTGAAAGACCAAAATTCTCCACGCCACCCTCCCATAAAATTGCTACCGTGGACATTGGTTAAGGACTGAAGGTAAATCAGTTGCTTTAGAAAGAAATGAGTAATAAGCTCACTCCTTTTCATCTTCAGTACTGTAAAAATGAAACCCAAACAAGTACAGAAATATCCATAGGTTTCCTTAATCTCTTTATAAAGGATCTTCAGTCGTATTAGGAGCTCATAGTAGCAATTCAAAAGCTAAATATAAAAGCAGCTTTTTGAAGTACTTATAAAGTCAGTATGAGGCTTTTTATTTTTAGCATATTTTCCTGTGAGATAAAGATAATGAATGTAGAAAGCATCCAAACCCAAAATGAGATACGCAAAAGAGATCCCACGATCTGCACCAGGAGTGCTACAGAATCAGCGCAGAGAGAGCAATGTTCTGACAACACCATCTGCTCATTTGTGCTGTTTTTTCCTATTACCAGCTCTCTTAATGTCTCATGCATGATTTTCTGGGGAAGTCAGGAGGAGTGTATGATTTATTTTGACATTAATATTTACCAGGCTGGTGTATGCTTAAAGTAGCCAAGATGCTGAGAATGTTTGCTTGTTTAAAAAGCCATTGAAATGGTTTTCCTTTTTCTTTGGAGACATTAACAAGTTATTTTGTCACTTCACTGTTACATAAAAGTCATATCCCATTTGCATGACATTAATTTAGGTAAATACCACAAGTTTTGCTCTTACTGGAGCTGTAGACTGAAAGAAAAATTACTTTGGTTTTCAAAAAGCTTTCTGGCATTTTACATTGGTCACTAAAGAACAGTGAAACAAAGTTTCAGGCTGTGAAACTTGAAGTTATTTATATTAGCAGTTTAGTGGGAAATTGAAGTGCAAGATTCTCCTGCAAAACTCATGCTGGACACTGAAAGTGTTATGTTTGATTGCTCCTTCGTGAAACCTAAAAAAGATATTTCATTTGCGTTTATTAACATTTAACAATTGTCTTACAGATTCTGGATAAGTAGCATTCCTGACATGTAGGGGTTTTTTAGAGTTTTGAAGCAAGTCTTACAAATAAGGTTTGTGTACTCTGCTGAAATACAGGAAAAGTGCACACAGTCTGTGCATTTCAGATCTGTTGCATGACTGCATTACACTATGGATTGATACTCTTTTCATCCAGAAATGGATTACAGAGCTGACAGATTTCTTAAAATAACCATTATGGATGTGAATCATACTGACAAAAGCAAAGAAATCCCATTCAGAAAAGACATCTTGCCTCAGCCAAACATTCTCATGAATGTGGATGGCTATATATGACTTATATACAAAGGATTTTTTAAATTGCTAGGCATAGAAGCCTAAAATTTCATTTTTTCTCATTAACAAAAAGATGACCAAAGTTACATATCAGTGGTATTGATGCTATGCATGTACCATAGAGATTGCTCTTAAATAGCTCTGTCTTCTAAGATGGGGTCATGTATTGTCCCTTAAGAAGGGACACTGATATGCCAGAGATGCACTCACAAGCATGAGGATGCACAGGATTACATTATTTTTCACAGCAATTACTTTTCCTAATATTTAAAGGACAGAGGCAAAAATGAAAGAGCTGTAGTATAATGGAATGGAGCTTCTTTTGGTTAGTTAAATTAATCCTGATGCCAACTCTTTTTTTAAGTTTTGAGATTTTAAAAAAATTGATGTAGATATTTAGTAATACACTAGAAGAAGCTATTCAAGATACAATATCTTTAGTGTTTAAAACCTTTGGAAAAATTCATGTATTAGGAATGCATATGTGCTGTAAAACATTAACTCTGCACCTTTTGTTTTTTTAGGAGCTACAAGAACTTCTGAAAGAATTTGTGACAATGTGCAGTCTTAACTGCTGCAGTTTCAGAGCCCTTTTTCTATTGCTGTTCTGTAGGTAAGAAGTATTTGCTAAAAAGATTATTTCTTCAATATATTATTATATCAGTTGGTTTATAATCAACTTACTTACAATTAGAGACATATTTGACAAGGTAACAAAGGAAAATCTTCTTGGCATTTGAATCTTGCCTCTTACAAAAATTAAAGAACCTGGGTATTAACAGAAACACAGGACTGAGCTTCATGAATCTCAGCTGCCTTGACAGATTTTTTTTTTTTTAATTGGAAAGATTGATGAGGGAGAAAAAGAATGGAATTTATGAAGCATATGAACCCTCAAATAAAGGATTACTGAGTAACAAAGTGAGTATTGTATCAGGTTTGCTTAACAAATTCAGATGGGCACACAGACTTTGCCTGGAGCATAGTGCCTTGCCCTAGGACAGAAGCTCACAGTCCACCTAGATTTACTGCAAGCTTGAGATAGTAAAATCATCACTGTGCACTAAAAGGAGAGTATCTTAAAAAGAAATATCTATTTTAAAAATTGTTTTTTTATTCTCTGTTATGAAATTGTAAAGTCTGTAGGAAATCTGAGTTGCCTTATGCTGGAAAGTGAAAATTATCCCCTCTGGCTACACATGGCACTTCTAACAGTGCAGCTGCCATGACAGAAAAATATAGAGATGGAGCACTTAAAATATATTCCTTCTATAAAAAGGGGCAAAAATATTCTTTAAGTAATTTGAATAAGAAAATGTAAGCATGGACAGGTTAAACATTCTCATCACTACTTTCATCAGAAGTATTTAAAGTCTGTGAGCCAATTCTTTATCTAGAATTGCCTAACCTACTTCATCTCACAGTAGATTCCTCAGGGTAAGATTCTATCTGAGCTTTAACTCAGGTGGGTGTGCAAACACTCATTTAGATAAAGCTTTCTCTTAGTAGTGTGAAAAGGTGGAACAATCCCCAGAAAATAAGTTTAAAGCATCAACTTCCCCCATCTTCTCCATTCCTATAGAGGGGTCTTTGTGCAAAACATGCACTTGCTCTAATTCCACCTTCTTCCCTCATCAGCTGTGACTTGCCATGCTATAATAGTGGGTGGCTCATGGCTTAGCCATAATAAAACAATGCTAAAAGACCAACAACTTCAGAAGCACCTAAATTAAAAGGAGGCAAAATTCCCCCAGGAGCTCAGCCTGTGCCACACATTTCATTAGTATCAGACAGGCTTTGTGAATCCTCCTGCAGCTTCATGAGGCTGTGAGTGTGCAGAAGCACGGGGGGTTCATTCCTGAGTTCATCCATGGGGGTGAGGGCACACACAGCACCTGTGAGAGTGCCTGGGTACAAGGGCACAGCACTGAGCTGTGTGTCTGTTGTACCCAAATCCAGACACAGCTCTGGCCCGGGGTTATCTCACACACAAGATGATGCTTGGGTTCAAAAATGCATTTTTCCAGTGCACAGATCAGGAGGGGTTTGTGAAAGTGCTGTTTAGGACAAAAACTGTCCTGCTTGACACTGAAACAGAGAAATATTTCTAAACAAAACCCAAGGGCTGAGGTGCACCCAAAGCAAGGACCATGATTTTTTGCCAAGTGGTCCCTTAGATATTCCACTTGGAAAAGCTCTGCCTAACATGTGAAGAGAGCTTTTTTTTAACTGAATAATTTACAGTCAGTAATGGTATGGGGTTGTTTTTTCCCTTTCTATCTCTCACTGCCTGAATGACACCTCTTCACTTCACTTAACATTAAATTACATTACAATCACAACATGGCCCCCTTTTTACTATTAAAATCTGTTGCCTGGATGACTTCTTTCCCATTTTTTTTTAAAGTAGTAATAAAAAAATTGAGGCAAACTGATCATTTTCAGGAATCAGCTTGAATGAATGAATGCTATTTGGTCTGAAGAAGGGTTCCCATTTGTTTCAGATAGGGTGTTTTTAACATAAAGAATGCTAGCCTAGGTTTATGGAGTCAGAATTCTATGAAATGTTCTTTTTTTTTTTTTGCTTGAGCTCAAAAGCATTTATGGTATTTCACTGTTTGTTCTTGTGCCTGGTAACATGATGCTAATTTCAACCTCACCATTTAACCTAAAAAAGAATGGTGACAGTACTGTCCATTTCAAAGCAGAGAATTAATCAGTGATGTGGATTTTGCTACAGTTTATCTGCAAAGACCATAAACGTCCATATCATTGAGCAAAGGTATGAAACCACAAATAACTACTTTATTTGCATCTGTAAGCCCTTCGCCTGTCAGTGAATTGCCTGCAAAAAAGCTTTTTTATTCTTGTTTTCCTGGGGGGGGAGTGTTTCAGAAGCTTGTTCAAACTGTATCTGGCATTTTGTTTATCTTCTTCCAGTTCTAAGGTGTTTCTGTCTCTTTCATGATACATATCTTCTGACAAAAAATAGCCAGAGAAAATATTCTCATACATGTGTCTAGACTGCACTTATGCCTAAATAAATGATATATACTACTGTTTAGGGCAAATGTTCCTTTTTTCCCTTCCAGTTACCCCATTCTGTTAAGACACGGACTTGAAAGTACCTTAAATAAGAAACAGTTGTTGTACCTTTCAAGTTTAGCCAAACTCATGAAAATTGTCAGTTTTTGAGCTCAAGAATGACTTAGAAAAATAAATAAATAAAAATCTGCTTTTATAAAAGCAACCAGAGGGCATTGAACCTCTGAGTTAAAGCATTTATTATGCATTGACAGCCCAGAACAGGCAGATAGTCTCAGCTGAAAAATAATTATATACTCAGTTTTTTTTCTGTAAAAGCCTGTTCACACCACAGTTGCTGGAGCACCTGTTGCAAGGCAATTCCAGGCTCAAAGGCATGCCAAGGCATTTCACATACATTAAGAAAATGGAGGAACTTAAACAGCTTCCCTTAACTATGAAACATAAATATAGCAACACAAATATTGGTTAAAGGGGAAGCTTAGGTGCAGTGATGAGAAGGTGCAGATGGAGGAGTGGAATGAGTCTCAGATTTTTCCTTTGTGAGTGTGTGCAGCTGTGAGCTCACTGTGCCTGAGCTGGGAATGGAGCACGTGGATCAAAGAGCGCTGTAAAGGAACAGGGCACCATCCCTTAAAACTCAGAAACCCCAGACTGCTAAGGGCACAGAACCTCTGTAGGTTCCTTACCTCTCACCACTGACCACCTGCCTCTGAGTGTCCCAAAGTCAGCAGGTTGGTGACAGCTTTGGTTTAACAGCTCACACTCACATTTAGGAGGCCCCAGGTTCCTTTCACTCACTGGCTTGCTGTGCTAGGACTTCTCTAAGGTTTTATGGCCAAACTGCACACAGGGGACCATGCCTCTTCAATTCACAGCCTCAATTACAGCACTACAGCTTTACCAGGCTTACTTAGCCATAAATCTCAAAAGGCCAGTGATATGAGGCTACACATCATGTGTTAATGAGGAAAATTATGAATTATCACAGGTCATTTAAAGGAAGGACTTCCATAAAATTTTTAAAGATATATTTTGGAAAATAGAGTTAATGATAATGAACCAGGCCCCTCTGCAATTGCAGATTGACTGGCAGAATAATGATATACCCTAACAGTAGAAAAGAAACAAGTTTTCCTTTAACATTTCACAACGTGTAAAACTTATTCAAGAACAATCCAGTAAAGCTGTGAAATTAAGCTCATGCAGCTCACTGAACACTTAGCTAAAATTTATATGTAAATTACAAAAGGAGAGATATCTAGTCCAAGAACAGTATTTAAGAAATTAATTACAGTCAAATGCATTTCCAATTTTAACACCTCTATGCAACATAAAACTGGCCTTCTTATTTATAGTCACATCTCAATTTAACATGACTGTTTCTTTCTTTAGGAAAAAACTTACAGGAGAAACTTCCCTTATTTCAATACTGGCATTTCTCAAGGGTATACTTAAGTAACAACATCATTCTTTGGCAATATAGAAATAAAAAACAGGGAAAAAATAAAGGAAAAAATTGAAAACATTAAAATAGCTAAGATATTTGTGTTATAAGGCAGCTAATGAGAAACAGCTATTTCTGTGGCAATAGGATCTGGTGAATAAAAAATTATACAGCAATAGCAGTTTTCAAGCCAGTGGACACCACATTTAAAACCACAGTGTGATTTGGCCACGTGCACTCAGTGAGATCATCTTAGCATGTAAGCTTTTCCAGTTTAAGATGCTGGATTATTCCTGGTGTCTCAGTGTCCTGACAAAACAACTCAAGCTTTCTCGGAAACAGCAAAATTAAAATGAAAATATCAAGCTTTGGAAAGCTCCAAGAGACCCAAAAATACAATGCAGAAGAGAAAGCAGAGTTCTCAGGAGCAGCTCCAGAAAGAACCAACACTAAGAAATTCAGTGAAGATTTAGCACTATAAGGGAAGACCACAAAACACTGGTAGCCCCTTACCTAATGGTCTATGCTTAGATTCTTCTCTCTAGGAGCAAATTCCTGCAGCTCTTGCACCTCCTGTTGGAGAGCTGGTCATTTTTAGGGGCCAGTAATTCCCAGAGCAAGGATTAAAATCCCTAGAACCTTCTCCTGGTGTTTATATAGGTGTCTGATCTCCATCAGCAGAGACAGTGCCTCTGCCAGCTGGGCTCACTAAGGCAATTAATTGTTTGGTTCTCACCTTCATAATTCATACCCCACCTTTCTCAAATCATTGGGAACAAGTAGTTGTTACTATTTGTGCTGTAATTTCTGAAGGGCGCACCCTGCTCAGGGTCTTGGGGTGCTCACCTTTCGGGTTAGGCAGAAAGGGTTTGTAGTTGTTTATATAACACTTTTATGGATTGTATTTGTAGCTGTTTCTGAGCAGAGGAAGTACTTGAATTCTCATTGTGCTTTACTGATTTTGCTCAACAGGATTATTTCTGTAGCCTGTTTAAAAATTGTGTTGTGAAAGCAGGATTTTAAGTGTTTTTATGCACTGGTCTCTGAGGCTGGTTTCTGTCTCTGAGACCTAAATATAATGTATTTCATTATGTAAAAAGAAGCTTTATTTTAAATGATGAAATAAACAACCAGCATCCCTTCCACATTCCCAGATTATAACCATAATGCCTTGTTTACAGATAAAGTATTAAAGAAGATTGTTTCTCAGATGGAATGTTAAGAAATAATAGAATTTAAGGCATAAAAAGAAATAGACTTAGACTTTATAGTATAAAAAGAAAGAATGAACTCTAAGGTACAAAAGAGATTTTTTTCCAATAAGAGACAAATACAGATTATGAAACCTGATTTTTTTTGATTTCTTTTTTATTATGCCCTTTTAAAATATCCTCATTTTCAATTCCTTTTAGGTCCATGCAAATTCCTGAAGCTGAAGGAAAAAGTGAAATTCTACCTCCAACAATACAAAAAATCATAAAAGGGTACAACAAGTATCTACGTCCATTTTTTGATAGTAAGTAGAAAAGCTCTTTCAATAAGGCTGAGTCATAACATAATGTGGTGTCTAAAATTCAACAGTGAGACTAAATGGGTTTTTCTGTACTTTTTTCCTCTGATATCTGCCAGCCACTGATCTGATTATATATGTTCTGTGATATAATAAGATGGAGTTTAATAGCTTTTGTGGCCCAAGGTGAAACTTGTATTTTCCAAGTATTTGCAAGCTAAACTTTCAGACTGTTAGAAAACTTGACTATCATTGTATGTGTGTCTTCATGAAATATGCTGTAACATCTTACCTATTTAAAAGCATAATTTCCTCTAATTTCCTAAATAATAGCTATAAAAAGCTTTGATTAAAGATTTGAAAGCTTTATATATCAAGCTGTTCAGAACAGCACAGGCAAATCTTGTTACTATGCAAAGTACTATATGCCTCAGCATATAGTAGAGATTGCAAGAGAATTATTTAATAAATGATTCTTGCCTCAGGTCTTAAAGGTCACTGAACAGATTTACTGAAAATTGTGGGGGGGAAATGAATTGAAAAGGGAAAATGAATAAAAAATGTCAGTTCCCTGCATCAGAAACCAATGGTCACCAGATTGGAAGAGCCACAGAGTCCACTGCATCAAGGCTGATTTTTCTGCCCTGCAGTGCAGTCAGACATCTGAAATCTCAGTGAAAAACCTTCTTACTTGAGTCAGGCTATTGGGTGTATCAGAAGTACTGAGGAGTTATGAAGTGGTGGGAAGAACTTGTCCTGGAGAAAGTGCAGAACACTGAAGAAGAAAATATTCTGAATGTTGACAAGAGGCTCAGCACCATGTGTCTGTCAGGAAATAAACTCATAGTGTGAATTATAGACCTTAAGCTGGATGTTTGGAAATGCTAGAGGTGTGAGTGCAAATGAAATATCTATATTCCTTTGTATCCTACTTAAAAAATTGATTGACTAATGAGCTTCTAAGACCCTCCTGTTACCTCTTGCCATCCAAATACCTGGTTCAGTATGGATGTTCCACATCATGTGCTGTTTCTGGATCCATTTATAATAATTTTAAGATATACCTGTATTTTAGGTTGAAGAAAAAGAGGAAAACTATTTCATCAGTTTTTTTTTTGTAATTATCTTAGCTGATGATAAAACTGCTATAAAATATTTAATGCTCTAAGGAGACTGACAGCAAAATAAAAGTAACTTTAATAAATAAACTAACTCTTCCTCATTGGAGATGATGCATAATGTAAAATAACTGTGTTCAGTGGCCATTAATATATTTTATTCATTACCTCATGATAGTACTAGAGATATGTTGGCACTGCCATGATGAGTGTGCTTGGGTAGACAGCAGAGTCTCATTTCAAAATCCTGTAATAGCAATTAAGACCTACCGTAAAGCATATTTGAGTTACAAATCTCCCTTTTCTCCATCTTTGCCTCAGCTGTTGTATTGCAGCAAGGCTACAGTTATTTTTTTGTCTGGGTGTTTTGTTCAGAGGGATGCTAAGAGCTCCCTGGGTGTGCCCAGAAATCCCAGAGGAGCTTGGGCACAGACTGAGTCTGTCACACAGAGCCAGTCTCACACCTCCAGACAGTGCCAGCATCTCCGCCAGTGCTCACTGCAGCTCAGGCATGCAACCTCTGCCTCAGAAACCTCTGATGGATCCTTATTAGCTCCAGTGCTGAAGGAATGAGATGACACTCTGAAAAAAATACATTTTATTGATGCCGCTTCTAAACACAGGGTTGGTGGTTTTGTGAGAAATTACTTTCTTTGTAGGAATAATTTGAGCTAGGGTGACTCAGGCAATGCTTCTCTTTATTTTTGAACCTGTAGCTTTTTGTGAGATCACTGGGGATCACTTTCCCTGTCATAGAGGAAGGTGTGCATGGGCTGGGGAGTGGGATCAGCCTGGTCCTGACCCCTCTCTGTTACTGGCAGGGTGGGCTACACTTTGCCTGAGAGTCAGGCCCAGGAGAAGCTATTGCTCCTCTCAGAAGCAGAGCTAGCAAACCAGCTAAGTCCTCAGCTTAACAAACCTGTGGAATTTATTTATTTCTGTGACCTCAGCTATGCTAGCTTTGTTCCATGTAGTATTTTCCTGGTTTACATGGTGGTTTTTTGCCTGCAGCTGGCGTACCTTGTGTCTGTTCTTGGTAACTGGCTTTACTCAACAGCCACTGAGCTCCTTAATATTTAGCAAAATGGGGTTTTAGTCCTGAAAAGAAAGTTAGGTACAAGCAAATGTTCATAAAATGACAGTTCCTTTCTCCTAAAGCCAGAAAAACCAGAAATATTTACTAGATAAGTAAAATTTATGGCAGCCCATAATTTTTTTAGTTTAATAAGCCCTCCATTTGCTTATAAATTTGTGTTTGGTCTTTGTGCTAGGGCTGGCAGATGACTGGAAATGTCCCAACCACATACCCCAGCTCGGGTAGTGCCATTAACAAGGGGAATATGAAGATCTTTTTCATTTGAGTCTAATGACTGCATAGCAACATAAAAACTGTCTTCTCCTTTCCTTGCATGGAGTGAATCTCCTGCTTTCCTAGACTTTAATTCTGGGTTTATCTCACCTTACTTTGGCCATCTCCTCCTGCACAGTCACCCCTCCAGACTGGCTGCACAAACGTTGCCATTTTTGTGTAACACAGACTGCCCTTCCCATCTCCAAGTGCTGAAATTGGGCGCCCAAAGTTGGGTTAGTTGAAAGCAGCCTTAGTGTGTCAGAGGTCTGCAGAGAGGTAAAACTGGCTGAGTGTTCTGTGTTTGTCCATACACCCACATGGTGGGTGGCACATACCATGAACCAGCTGCCGCATTGTGAGGGTGCTTCAGACGCTGCTGGCACGGAGGAATCTCAGCTGCACTGGTTATTTAGCTCAGCCCTCATCTGAATGTTGCTATTAAGAATGTTCTGTTTCCTTATCTATAGCACTTCAATGTTCCTCTTTGAGTTGGTTCATCAGGCAAGTCTTTATAAGTTAAGCAGATAGGTGCAATTACCAATTAAAAAACCCCAAACCCCTGATCTGGAATGATTTTAGCCATTCTTTGGACTGGAATATGAAATGCTCCTATATTAATGTTAGTAGATATTATTCCTCAGTATAATAATATCTATCCTACCATTACAGATATATATGGAATACTTCTATAGAAAAGCTGGCATAAGGGATTTAAAAATCAACAGTTATTTCCCTTAAATGTGCTACATAACCCTGCTACTTTATCTCAGCAATACAACTTGATTTCTACCTCAGGTTTTCTGCTGGAACCATGTAGATCAATTTTATAACTTTTTGTGCTGTGCCAAACTCTCTGAATTAATGAGCAATTCCTGCAGACTTCAGTGAGCCTTGGATTAGGTTCACAGGGTTGTTAAGGGATGCATAAAATCTTGTAAATAATTTTATACAAATAGATTTTGTTCTGTGATTGAATGTGATAATTTAAGTGTTCTAATTAAAAAGAGAGATACTAGGAAAAGGTCACAGCTAAGTATATTTGAATATGGAAGCTGCTTTCAAGTGGTACAGAAAAGTGTCATGCCTAAATCAGTTATTCTAAATCACATTTAAAAGATTATTTTCCTTCATTTCATAATGAGTAATACATCTCATAGACAAGTTTTAAATGAAAGCAAATAAAGTTTTTGGGTCCAACCTTCTGTCTAAGACCTGTCATCATGGGTTTTTTCCCCCTCAAATGTTGTTTATATTAAGTTCTATAAATGTAATTAGATGAAGGCATTTTAGTCTTCAGAAGTGTACAAATGAGACATCAGAATGTTAGCTGTGTCTAACACCCTTCAGTCTAGGGAAGCAAACTCTCAGGGTACATGAGAAAGAAATATCAAATAAATATCATCTAAGGACTATTTTAAGCTAGCATCTAGTCCTTTAGAGAAAAGCGAAAAGCCCAGAATATGTAAATAAACTTCAGCATAGACATGGTAATGGAGATTTTCCTTCTTTTACCAGAAGACACACAAAGAGCATCTGATTGCCACCCAACCCATGTTCCTGCATGCAGGACAGTTTGGGTTTTGGTTTTCAGCAGGGTTCCCTCCAAAGACTTAGCTCCAGAGATTCTAAATTATAAATGGTGCTTTTGTTCAGATAGTAAAAGATCAATTTATTTGAAGTTTCCTGTTGTCTCCAGCTTCCACAAACTGGGATCTTTGCTTTGCTAAACAATGTGCACAACTAACTACTGCATGCATTTTCTGACATTGGACAAGTCACCTTTCTGACTTCTCTTTGAGGAGCTGAGTAAACAATGCTCCTTGATTTTTATGTTACAAGATTTGAGATTTTTTTGTATTTTGGAATATTTTTCGCTGTGTCTGCTGTTTGCACATTTTATTCAAATGTGGAAAATGAATCTTGTCACAGCCATAACAGTCTTGCCAATACAGAATAGATTGCAAGATAACTTAATTCTGTGCATTACTCCCCTTTGTAATAATGCTGCTGCCAAAGCATAAGATGGAAAGAGCATGTTAAAATGATTATCTGTGACAGCCTCTAAATCCTTCTCAAAGGCACTGCTTGCCAAGATGGTTTCCTGTCCTGTGTGTGCTGCCTGTCTTATTTGTCCCCACATTAATTGCTTGCATTTGGCTGTATGGAAACATGGGGGTTTTGACAAATGATTTAACAAGCTGTTGTTAACATGGTCCCCACCAATTTTTGTCTTGTCCACAAACTGTACCAGCAAAGCAGCATCAACATCTAAGAGTTATTGATGTAAACAAATAGGATTGAAATTGATTTGTGCTAGAAATGGGTCTGTCTTCTCATGCCCTCAAATCAAGAATTACAGTTGAGATCTGTCAGAAGGTCTGTCCACTTTCTTCATGTAACTATTTGTCAAGAAAAATGTCTTGTGGCGGGAAGTTAAATGCACTGAAAAAAATTTCTAAGCATTATATAAGAATTCTGTTATACTCCAAACAAAGCTGGGAATCAGAGGGACAAAATGAGTTTTCTAGGAAGCTATTGGAGTTATTCTAGTATTCTTCTAATTTTCTGTTTACTTGCAGTATTTTATCCAGTATTGCTGCAAAGAAGAGACATTCTTCCAAGAAGCATTTTGAGGCCTTTGTGAATGTCAGAATTGTTTTGAGTTTTCTTAAACTAAATGAGAAAGGGCTCATGCTAATGGCTCAGCACTGGAAGTTTTTGATAGTACTGATCCATTGCAGTAATGGGTACACATGTGACACAGTGCTAGTTTATTTTGCTGCTACAGACCAGGATCATTGCAGTGAGTGATCCAAACTTAATTTTTAGGTATGCTGTCTGCCACTCTTCTGGCTGCTTTCCTATTTGGGATCACTATGAATATCTATAGAGGGCACAGAGGAACAATTTACATAAATTGCAGGAAAATGGAAACGTGTGCTGCTTGGGCTGCACAGGCAGGGCTGTAACAAGGCACTCCCTTTGGCCCTGCTCTGCCATGCTTTGAAGATTCCCTTCAATAATGCAGGACACAGTAACTTCAGTTCTCTTCTGAGGATCGGGAGATTTCTTCTGATGTTGTCATTATACATAGAACTTCTGCCAAACATATGGAAATGTAGGAACTGACTGCCTCATCTGGTTTGCTGCCCAGTTTTTGACACTGTCAACAGGAGACCTTCAGAGGAAGTTCAGAGGAAGCCCTGGTGAATAATTATGAGCAGACTCATTCTGTTATTAGTACTTTACAATTTATGGTGCCTTACTAAATAAACATTTATCCTCACATGCAAAAAAGAAATCAGCATTTAACTATTAATGTTGTTCTGATTTAATTAACTGCTGGAGTAAAGCTCTTCTCAGCATCTTGTATTGTGTTAATAATGATCCTTTCCATAATTTGTTTTCCAACTCCTCCCATAGAACACAGTGCTGGATCTGGGGTGATGGAATTTTCTGCTGAGTTTTTTTGGGTGCTGGGCTGGGCAGGCTGGGTGTACCTGGGCAGTGAGGGTTTTTGGCTGGGGTGAGTGGAGCAGGACGGTTTGTCCTGACTGTGCTGCCACTCCTTGGCACTTGAGCCCCAGGGCAGGTCTGTGTTCTGCCACTTTGAGCTTGAAATGCGTCTCAACCTGAGCGAGATGTCCTGTGGTGCTTGGGAGTCACCCAAAGCTGCAGTGCTGTTGTGGTACTCAGTAATACTTTGAGAAATACTTCAGCAGGAAAGAAAAAAAGGATCTACAAAGTCCTGTTTGTCTGATTCCTGAGAAATTACCCCCTGCTTAATTTCAGTAATCTTTCTGGAAAATTGGCTGTTCCCCTCACATGTGTAACTACCTGGCCCTGATGATACTGAAGTGTTGCTAATGGACGTTTTCCCTAATCTGTATCACCTTACTGGGCAAGGATCAGGTGATAATAATTCATGATATAATAGAAAGAGTCTGATTATTCCCAGCCATCATTCCTGCAAAATCATCTGAACAGTGCACTGTCCTCTCCTTGGGATGGTCCATCCTTAAACATGTGCCTTGCTGGGTGGGGTTCTCCCCAAATGATCCTGTGATAGTTGGCAATAATATGCTCTGGTACAGTCACACATGGGAATCTCTATGAAGACGTAAAAAAACCCGCAATTTGGATTATAAATCACATTATTTTGAAATTCAATGGTTTTTGAGCATCTGACATATCTTTTGAGGCTGGCAATATTGTACCTGCCATTATGATATAGTACAATGGTAAATATAAGTATTAATTGTTGTACCCCAGGTAGCTGGGATGAGTTTCTTAGGGGTTGAGCTTTTAATCCTGGAGGGAGAAAAAATGAATTTATTCATGGAGTATCAAAACATGAAAAGACTGGGAAGAAACAGAAGAACAAGCTGTCAATGATCTGAGAGTTTTTCAGTCAATTTTGCTTCAAAGTTAGCCTCCAAAATCTTCTTTCAATATATGAACAATAGTTTCTAAACCCTATGTATAATTTAATAGTATACATGCATATTAAAAAGTAATAAACATGCATATTAGCAGCAGGGCATCCTGCAAACCTGTAGTCCTGTTTTAAGCTGGAGCTTTATATTTAAACTTTCAACTGAGTCCAGAACAAAGGACTTACAGATTTTTTTTCAGGAGTGACAGATGTGTAATGATTTTAACACATGCATTAAAACCAGAAATATTTTGGAAAAAATAAAAATACTAATAAAATGACAGGTCTTAGAATGACACATTTTTTTCTTTAGTGTTATTCAGGAGGGTGGAGTTGGACTCCATGTTTCTCTGGATGCAATTTGGGAAATTTCTACAAAATGTATTGCAAGGAGCCAAGGAGGGCTTTCAGTGATTTGCCTGTGAGATAAGGGCACTACCAGCTCCAGAGATCTTACCTAAAGTATTTCTGTGTGCTGTGTTCTTTTCTTCTCAATTGCTTGGAAAGATTCACTGATTTAATATTAATTTATTTGTACAAGCATTCTGTTAATTATTCTGCACATATTCCACCAGGAATAATGTTGTGTTTTCATCAAAGCTCTGCAAAAATTCTGCATTTTAAAATGCACAGTCGGTGATCTTCCCTCCAACAGTGTGAAATGCACATTCAGGAGGAAATGGGAATCAGAGCATACTGACATTGCAGTAACAGCTGCTTAGCTAAGGTGTTTAACTACACTGAATGGGCCTTCAGCTTACGACAAGTTTTCCTTTATAAATGTAATGTTTGAATCACAAGTTTCCTGCTAGTGGTCAAAGGCAAGATCTTAAATTGCAATGATACAGTATATACCATAAATTCTTAAATGGAAGTCACTCAGCTGTGCCATCTGGATATTAACCACGCGACATTGCCAGGTGAAACTTCTTACTTCACCCACATCTGATGGACCAGATGTTGCAAGAAGAATTCTTGCACTGGAAGAATTCTTTCTGCTGCTCTGCACCTTAGAGAGTGTGAGGTACCATGGGGATTGTGCCTTCCACACCATATTGAGTAACATTTTCCCTGGCATTTTTTTTTTCTGGGAGAAAAAAATAATATAAATCAGAAAGTATTTAAGAAATAAAGCATATTTCTGAAAACTAAAATAGTTTTAGCTGAGAAGTATGACATTTTGGTTAAGAATGTGAAAATTCTTGCATAATCTGTGTTTGAGGAATATTTAAGATAGCTTCTAAACATTTAGGAAAAAAAATAGAAAGATTTTGTAGGCAGTTCTCATGAACACTGAATATTAAAGAATTACGAGCTATATTCTGACTTCCTCTTTTTTTTGCAGATGGTCCTGTGTCAGTGGGAATGAGTATGGATATTGCAAGCATTGATACAATATCAGAAATAAATATGGTAAAGTAGTTTTTGCAGTCTGTTTTGCTTGTTGATAAGCTGATGTGCTTACAGCTGCTGGCAATACAACTTTGGGCTTGTCTCCTTGTGAAGACAGTGTGGGTTAGGAGGTGGAATTCTCTTTTTCACGAGACATAGTGTTTATAACACTGTAATAAGCATAGAAATGCAGCTGTGAGTCCCACCTCTCACAGATACAAACAGAAAGCTGCTACTGAGTATTAATCTTAATGAGAAGCATGTGGATCAGTTCTTATTTTCCAGCTGAAATGTCTAAATCGTTATGCATTTCATAAAAATGAAGATGTATTTATGTGCCTTTGAAGCCACTCTCCCTATGATTAGATACAGCTGAACTCAGGCTGTTTTTCTCTTCTATTGTTGCTGTCACACATTAATTTATTCCAGCTGTGTTTCATTTAATTTGTATCATTTGTTCTTGAACAAACTATGAAATGGAATGTACTTTTCTACTTAAAGATCCTCCATTGGTACACAGAAATAAAAAGGAAAAAAAATTAATCAGATATTAAATATGAGTGCATTAGTAATTAGTAATTATTAGTTACTATTTAGAAAGGGGAAATAAGGTCAGAACTTCAGATGAATTTGTAATATTGATAAAAACATACCATAAAATCAAAAGTTGTTTTAAAAGTGTTAAGAAATAATGTGATCTTAATGTAGGACTGCAAGGCATAACTAAATTGAAGGGGAATTGGACTGCTGTGTTCAAGGTCTTGATAAATTTGGTACCACTGTTTCCTTTGTGATGCTAAAAAGAGAAATTGTGTTAAAAGATGCCTTTCCTGTTTCACTAATTTTTTTTGTCTATATGAATTTATTCAACTTTTTGCCATGTGCTCTTAAAAAATTCTTTTTTTATTAGCTTATGTGAACAAAATGAGATTTGGAAACACTTACATAAATCATTCTAAAACCTGGAGGTTTACAGAGCCAGATTATCTGCTTACAAAGCTCTGATGACTTCAGCTGATTCATAGCCCTGACCAAGGCCAGCAGCTCTTACTGTAAATGACCATTAGAACAAAACCTACCAACCTCACATGGAAAACTTGGCAGAATTCAGCGCAGCTGCTCTTGGAGTGCCAGGGACATGGAGAATCACTCTTTGTGCCCAGCAGCTGTTTCCATATACTTCTGTAAAAGGGAATACAACGCAGGCTCCCTTTCTATGATAATTTTGATTTTCTCTTTCAGGACTACACAGCCACCATATTCCTCAGGCAGAGATGGACTGATGAGAGGCTTTGTTTCGATGGCAATAAGAGCTTGAGCTTAGATGGTCGACTTGTGGAAATGCTTTGGGTACCAGATACCTTTATAGTTGATTCAAAAAAGTCTTTTCTTCATGATGTCACTGTTGAGAATCGTCTTATAAGGATATACCCTAATGGAACAGTCTTGTATGCCATAAGGTATGTAAATACCACCCATCAGCCTTTCTGATTGTGTCTACTTATGTTTTAAACTTCCCAGGTTCTGCTTAAGAAAATGAGTCTGTCTGTAAAAGTAGCATCTTGTAGTTTTAAGAATACTTAATATTCTTGATCAATATGAATAAATTCTTAAATTTATCTTCCCTAAATAAACTCTTTTGCTTTCATGCAGGCTGAGCACAGGAATTGCATGTTGCCATTCCAGTTTGCAGTGAAGCCATCACAAGGGATAAAAAGCTGTGATGATGGACCTGCATGATTTATTGTGAATTACCCTTTGTAAAAGGTCTTGATAAATAGAACACAGTCTTAAAATATATTGCAAATAACAAAGGAAAATGTGCACTCTAAGTGAGAAGAGAGCAAAGGGTGGCCTTTTTAGGCTGCCACTGAACTCAACTGTTCTGCTGTGGTTTCTGTTTGGGACTGTATTACTCTCATTATATTAGATACCAGTAAATAGTAAATTTTTTTTCCTCACAATAGATATTAGGCTGAAAATATTATTTCAAGAACCATACATGGCATTTTTTATTTTTACTGATGAACATTTTTTTCCTATTAATACTTATAAAACTTTTTCCCCCCCAAGGATCACCACAACTGTTTCATGCAGCATGGATCTGACTAAATATCCAATGGATAAGCAGACATGTACTTTGCAACTGGAGAGCTGTAAGTCACTTCATCCTTATTGTTTTATGCAATTAGAAAAAGATCTGTGATCTATTTCTGCTAGATATTACCAGAGTGGCTGGAATTTTCCTAAAAGGCAAGGGACATTATGTGGCCAGTCCCAGTGTCTGTGTGCAAAGGTGTGTGCACAAATGTGCACATGACCTCACTGAAAATAGCATGGCAGTGCTAATTAATGAGTGAGCAAAATCCTGGGGGATTCTCACAGGCTTGGTTTTGCAGTGCATCCTGCAGTTACTGTCTTGGTCTTCAGAGGGAGTTCTGTGAGCAGGCATTTTCTCAGCACAGATGAGATGGTTTTGTTTTTTTTCCCTTTCAGAGAGTATGTAATTTTTTCTCGCTGAGATAAAATTCCTTTAGGAAAGAAAGAAATCAGAATAAGGCTTCTTTGTAAGGCATGCAGTTCATATTTAATGATTTGCCATTTTCAGATCTTGCTCTGACTTATTTCATTGTCTCTTATATCAGTGCCCTGGTAAAAAATGTGATCAATTGACGAATAAGTGTAAATATATATTTTCATTTTATCAATCAATCAATATCCTCATATTTTCCTTGAAATAGGTTCTCTAATACTTTGTAGGTGTGGTTACTTTGCAAACACATAAACATGTACTTTTTTGGCTAAATGTTTGCTATTATTCATATGACAAGACTCTAGAAAATAATTTTTGCGGGGGATAACACAGAAGAATAACCAGCTCTGTAAGATGAAAATATATATTTAAAATATGTCTCAATACATGCTCAAAATCTTTTGGAAGGCTTTCCGGTACTTGTCAAGTTTTATTCTGTTTCTTTTCAGAAGTGTGTATTATTCATCTCTTGTTGTTAATGACCGATCAGATTGCCACAAAGTTTCATTTTAGACAGAGACACAAAGGAAATGAACCCAAAACCTTCTTCACATCCCTCTACAACAAGCAGCTTTATGAGATCTGTTTAACAAACAGTGGTTTGGATTGTAATTGGGATTTGTCTTTATTTTCCTTTGGAAGAGCATATTGGTAAATCAATGTATATAGATTTAAATCAACAGCACTGCCTAACGAGTCATTTAGTATTTTCTCTAGTTCCAGAATGAAATACATGTCCCACAGGAATTTACAATTTGTTTGACAGGATTAAAAAAATAAAAAGGAAAATTCCCCGTATAATTAAAACCAAGCTTTTTTTCAGATTGATTCCATCTGCTTTTTCAACAGCACACAAGTGTCTCCTGTCCAAGGGGAAAACCCAGTGCCACAACAAATGCTCCCATTACACTGGTGTTTAGTTTGAGGAAAACAGATAGAAGCAACAAATACAAAAAGGAAAGAGTGTGCCTTGGGCTTTTCTCATCAGTGCACTGCAGTCCTTTCTTTTGGGTAGGCTGGAAATGGGGTTTGCTTCCCCATGTGATAAGCTATGTTGATTTATAGATGAATAATGTGATCATCCTCCTGGCACACTGCTTGCCAAGACCATCGCCTGGGTTTAAGAATTGTGAATGCAGAACATGCACACACATCTGCACAAACATTGATGCTTGTAAATAAAATGTAAAATCTACAGCAAATATTTGAACTGAGACAAAGAGTTAGGCTTTTATTAAGTGATTATTAATATAAGGACAAATATGTCATGATATCATGGAGTAATGGCTTTACACCATAAAGCATCCCCAGTGACCTTTCCAACATTCTTTTCTGCTATTGCTAGTTAGTAACTTTAAGTGACTTGTACTTTCTACATAGCAAAACACATTTTGGCCAACATGTTATTGCATTTCCCCCCCCCCCCCCCCCCCTTATTGCAACACTTTAGAAGGTAATGCTGGCATTTGTTAGGAAACAGAGACTTGGCACTCTGAGTCTCTTGATATGAGTGCTGTGACATTTGGGACAGTGGAGGGATCCTGCCTTGCTACGTGCTGCCAGGGGGGTTCCTGCTCTCTGCCCCGTGGCAGGGAACACCACCATTCATCCTTGCTGGACTGGAGGGTTTGTCCTCACATTTCCCTCACACACACCCCCAGTCCAAATACATATTCAAGTCTTGGGCCCATCTCTGAAATTTTATTTATTTTTGAACTTGTCCTTTACCATTCATTCAGTGAAGAGCCATGTGAAGGCACTTAACTTGTGCTTGACAATCAGTGAAAATTAAAATTAGCAACAGAAAGGTAAAGAAACTAATTTGTATTAGGCATTATGAATGTTTAATCCCAAATTTACTATTCCTGTACTTAACCCTATTGACATTAGCAGCTCATACTCTATCAACAATGTACAGGAATGAGACATTCTGGGCTTGAGGAATTAGCTAGGATAAAAACTCAGTGTCACATAAAGAGAATAGAGATTGCTTGTAAAAGCCAAATAACATGGGCTTAAGGATTTTGTCTCTATAAACTTTTGAAATGTTTTATAATTACTAAAATATTAATCCCTTGAATAAAGAACAACTTTGCACAGAGGGAGCACTGTACTATTTAACTTTACTGACTATTAGAAGGCTCTCTCAGTAAAAATTCGTCTTAAGAGTTTTGGAATTATTATTCTCAAAGAATTTTCATAAGAAGGATCACCCAAACCTGCTAATTGTTCCACTAATGAGAATATTTTGGAACAAAAGCAAAATAACCTCTGTTTCAAAATATGCTCGTTATCATTCATGTGGGCACCAAGAACTTCTCCTGTCTCACACAACTTGGAAGGCTGAATGTCTTATGAAAACAAAAAGGAATTTACTGTGATACTCTCTAGTTCTTTGGACTTCATTTAAATGTCTGTAGTTCATTTATACTGAAAGGAAGTAAAATGCATCCATGGCCGGAATCATGCATAAAACCTGGTTATATGAGTGTCTTTGTTTTGACTAAGGACAATGCAATCATTTGTTTATAGAAAATGTTACTTCTATTTTGCATCTCACAAATCTGGGAAATTTCCCAGTATGTGATTTTAGGGAATTGAAAACTTAGCTTGGATGCATGTGCTTTTGGCTTAGTCTTTTGACACAAAACTCTTTTGGCTTTAATTGCTATAAGTGCGATAACGTGAGCAGAGATTCCAGGCCATGATACCTTTTCATATAACTACCAGTGATAGTGAAAGCAAAATGTACATTTAAAGAATGAGCAGAGAAAAAATTTTCAGGTGAAATTGTCATTTAATAGATAACCAGCCCAGTGTTTTCTTAGAACAAAATTTATGAACTCCTTTTTTTTCCTGCATGAGATGGCGGGATAAATCTGTTCTGTTTTGTCATTGCAAGAAAAAACCCCAATAACTTAAAAATATTAAAAGGCACTTTTGTTTTTGTTTTAATACATCTCTTTTTTTCTGTGATTCTAGAGCTTTGTTCTTTTTGCAGCATATACCCTTGTGCAATGTATTGCATTATTGTCTCACTGTAATTTACTTACAGTTGACTAAAGTCTAAAAATAATCATCAGCTCATGTTTCTGTTCCCTAAGCTGAGCTATTAACTTACACAATATAAATCTGTCAAATATAAGAATGATTGATCTAAGTAAGCTAAAGAAAAAAGATGTTCAAATGCTCCCTGTTAACATGTAAATTACATTAACATAATCTTGAATTAATCAAATACACTAGTCTGTAAAGTGGCTGCCTTTTATATAAGGGGGAAAAGCTACAGAGGTATTTTGGCTATGATTGTGCTGCACATTGACAAGTGTGTGCAAAACATGGTTGCCTTCTGATAGATGATTCATCCAGGTCCTAATTACTGCCTGAAGGTTAAGAGGGAACCTCCTGGGGCCCCTGAAGCGTGCCATGCTGTTGAGCCTGCAGAAACACCAGCTCTAAGCTGGTTTCCTTGGCAAGCATCCGAGTCCTCAGCCCAAACCTTGTCCCAAGTGGTGACTCGAGCTCTGGTTGGAGCACAGCACCAGCGAGCAGCAGCTGTGCTGCTCTCCCCATCCCTTCATCTCTGTGGGAATGAGGACCAATGCACTGCACCGAGAAACAGCATTTGGGATGCAACACACGGCACGTTTCATGTCCAGTCAAAGTGCTGGCAAGTGCAGTAATTCATTAAAGCTCTATTTTCTTAGAGCCTAATAGCTTTTGCCTTTAGAATACCAGGTGGTACTAATCTATTTTATTAGTTTGTCATTTATACTGAAATACAAGATACAAAAGGACCACCTCCAAAAACATCAGATTTTAACTTACAAGACTTTGCATGGTGTTGCAAATTTTGTCATGAACAGGAATTACAATCTGCCAAAACCCATCATTGTTTATGTCTAATTGCACTTCCAGAAATAAGAAACAGCTGAACCATAAGTGTACTCAACACAAATTAATTATTGTGCAAAATAAACACAATTGTTGGCTTGTGTCTCACTACAGGGGGTTATAACATCAATGATGTCATGTTTTACTGGACCAGAGGAAATGATTCAGTTCGAGGTTTGGACACACTCCAGCTGGCACAGTACACAGTAGAAGACCACTTTACTTCTGTATCTGAAGCTGTGTATGAGACAGGTAAAAACACCCCTAAAACAATTTCTGGGTGCAGTTTGAATTATGGCTTTGGAAACAGAGCAGCTTCAGGAACTGAGCACACTGCTTTCTGTTAGGACGACAGTTTTCCTTTTCTAATAATTACATTCTTGAAGCTGTAAATACTTTCCATGTTACAAGCAGAGACCAAGCTAATATAAAGACTGAGCATTTTCTTGTAGGCCACACATTATCTAAAGAATTATAAACATGAATCTACTGCTCCTTGCATATGTCAGGGAGAGCTCTTGTGGAGAAAGAGGAGCATGGAATTGGTCATTTAAATTGAAGACAGACCAGGGACTTTGGGGTACTCAGCTCAGATCAGCCATTCTGGCTTTACAAGGCAAATCAAAAGCCTCTATTCATCTGTGGAAATTCCCAGAATATGCTGTGTGCTTTCACAGCTGCAGGAATTGGAGTTTCATGGCTACTGCTTGTAGGAGTTTCTGTGTTTGTGTGGCAGCCTCTGCCCGGCCTGGTGGGCAGCAGGAAGGAGATTGCCTGACCTGAGGTTCCTGTGCCCAGGGAAGGGTCAGGAGCCTTTCCCCGACCTGCTCCTCTGCCAAGCTTAGGAATCTGCTGTAGAAAGTTTCCTCTAACTGCAGGGCTTAACCTCAGGGAACAGTGTGCTCTTGGTTATTTTCCAGAGATTTTGAAAGGGATTTCAGGGAGTTCAAGACCTGCCAAACCTTTTTGTTCTTCGAGTTACTCTCAGGTCCTTCATTGCTGCTCTTCACTGTGTACCCAGTTTCTCTTCTGCTCAAGTCAGCACACCCACACAAGGGTGTGATCTTTAAATCAAGACACACACATCCTTCAAAACTGCAGTTTCACCAGAGGACATGTTTCTAATTCGGAATCACAGAGATATACTATTTCTATTCCATTATTGGGTATTTCTGCTTTAATAACACAAGACAGAGAAACTTGTGATCTAATTTCAGGTATTAATTCAGGGCAAAAAATTGAAGTTCTCTAAATGGATGTAAAAGTATAAATTAAATACCAGCAGGCTCGAGGATCACAGAATTGCTTGCTACTTATGTAAGTCACATCTGCTTGCCTTCCTTTACACAGTTTCTGAGTAAGCAGCATCAGGTTCAATGAAAGAATAATCCTTTACTGCGGTTCTACCCAGAAGGGTATTAGGACCTGTTCACCACACAGGAAAGGGGAAGAGGAAACCTGCTGAATTCCTATCACATTCTATCACAGAATCAGGAGTTTAAAGACAAAAAAATTTGTTTGTTTTGTTTGTTTGTTTTGGTTAGTTGGTTTTTGGTTTTGTTTGTTGTTTAACTAGATTGACTAAAACCTACTTCCAGTTAGAGTTGAAGAGGTATGATCAGATGAACTGCGCTGTCCTTCCAGTAAATGATGCTGTTTTCCTCCCTTTGTCTTGGCAGGAATCATATGTTTGAAGTCAAAAGCCACTTTTTGTTTTAATTGCATGTTTTAAGACACACAAATTAATTCAATTAAAATTTCTTGCACCTCCGGTTCTCCTATTCAAGACAGCCATGTTATTAAGTGCTGTGCAGTGCTTTTAAAATTTTAAAATCTCTGAATCCTCTTAATTTTCTACCGAGTCATTCTGAACCTTGTGCTATTTTCTACAGTTGTTTGGAAAGCAGTGCCTACTGTAGGCCATATTAAAAGAAAAAAGCAACCAGATTATGGAGCTGTGTAATCAATTTTGAAATGAAAAATGATGTTTTGCATTTCCTCATTACCATTAATAGATATGAGAGTAACTTATAAATAACAATAACATTATAAATAACAGCTGTTTATTACCACTACAATTCAAGGGGCTAAAGCTAAAGTTATGAGAGAAGAGCTGTGTGCAGTATTTCCTAGCACAGCAAAAAAAGCAATCAGGGTTTGATACTCTGTGAACATGAGCAGGCAGTACAGCTGCTGTGCAAGTGAAATATTGTACAGCGGTGCAAAACCCAAGTTCACGTACAGCCACTGACAGAGCCAAATTTAAAACGCAGTCAGCAAAATTCCTGCATAAGTAACTTCAGTAAATTTAAGAAAAGGACACTGAGGATTAATCTTGTTTGTAGAACAGCATGAATCACATAATAGTAATCACATTACTGTAATCACATAATAGTAAGTCACTTTGAATAATGCTAGCTAGATTTCTGGCCAGGGTTTGGTGTTGATTTTGTTTTGGTACAGAACAATTTCATTTTGGACATGGGTAATTTAATTGTTAGAACCATTTCCTACATGTCTTTAACTATAGTCCTCATTCTTAGAACACTGATAAACTCTTGGACTCCCAAACCATATTATCTGCATCATTTTAGCTGTCCAGCCAACACCAGCTGCATTCTCAGAGTAATCAATACTAATCTAAAAAGCTTGCTTTTCTTACTGGAAAAACATAAAAGCAATGAAGAACCGTTACAGTGTAGCTTTTTTGTATAAATAATCATAGAAATAAGGCTGAAATACATTTTAAAAATTCATTTAATCTATTCTTGTGTCACAAGGCAAGGTCATCTATATCTGCAGCTACTTCCTGACAGATGTTTCTAGGAGTAAGTCAGACAAACCTCCAAAGTGTCTGCTTCACAGCCTCCCTAGATGATTTTTTTCCTGGTGTTTATTACACGCATATTTTCCTCATGTTTAATCTTGATCTCCCTTGCTGCATTTCAAACCCATTATGTGGATATTGAAGACAAATGTCCTGCTTTTTTTCAGCAGCCTTTTCACTGTACCAAGACTGATATATCTTTTCTCACACCAACAATTTTCCTCTTTTTTAATTCATACAAGCAATTTTCTAGATATACTGTCTTTGCTATTGTTCACCCATTGAATTTTCATCTCTTTGCTAGTATGCAGCACCCAAAAATGGGTTCCCATTAGATATCCTCTGAGGATGGAAGAGTTTACTTAATGTGTTCCATGAAATCTGTTCCTCTTTATGCATTCTAGGCTGATATTTGCCTTTCTTGCAGAAAATTGTCATGCATTTTTGACCTTGTTCAGCTGGTGGTTCTTCCTAGTTCTCTGACTCCTTTTTTGCCCTGTAACCACATGTTCCCTGAGCTCTGGGAGCTGGTGATTCCCATCTGAGTGCAGGACTTCATACTTGTTGAATTCCCTTGCTTTACTTGTGTTACAATAGTTGGTGAGATATTTTTGAACTCCAGTCCTGTTCTCCAATGTTCTAACTCCACTCCTAACACACTCATGCAATGTCATCTTGTTAGGGAGCAGTTTTGGGCCCAGACCCTCTGTGTTGCCACTTCATAAATACTTCTATTTTCACAGCAAGCAATAGCTAATTAATCTCAATTTCCATTTTTAGTCAGAGAAAGAAGCAAAAACATAATTTCAAGCTTCATGCTAATCGGCTGTTGATAGCTTTTTTCCCCAGCATCTTTCCTTAAGTCTTGCACCCACTGCTGTCCTGTCAAGTCCTTGGCAGCAGCAGGAATGAGGAGGCTCAGCTTGCTCAGGTCCAGTCTAATGCTGAGTTTTATCCCAGAAGGAGAGGCATGGCAGGCAGGCAGGGCTCTCGGTGCACATCCCCGCTTGGAAAATGTCAAGTCAACAAACTGCCACATTCAAATGGCATTATTTTGGCAGAACAGAAGGAAAGAAGAGACAGAAGCATAAATTCAATCTCTGCTCCTTGATGCACAAAGACAAGATATTTGCTCTGTTGAAAAGGCTGCAGAAGGAGCTGGCTGCTGTTCTTGTCTGCAGTCGCTGCCAGGGATTTGATGTCTGCCTCAAATCCTGCTCCAGCCTCCTTGGGCCCGAGGCCCTCAGCCCTTGTGTGGCTGTGCAGGGCTGAAACTCTGTGGTCCCCAGGCCACTGCCTGTTGTCAGCTTCTCAGGGGGATGTCACAGCTAAGCCAGTGAGGAGTTGCTCTCATTTATAATTATATACAAAATACATATAGGTTATATAAAGTTTGTATAGGAGTGTGTGTTCATCAGTCATTGTCTCTTTCTAAATAGAAGCACTGCTTGCTTTGTCCTACAAGCTCATCTGCAATTTCCCAAGGTTCAGGAGGTTATTTAGTTAATAATCAAGTTTTTCTAGGTTTTTCAGTGCTTTTCCTTTTGAGGTATGGTGGGCTGAATAACTTCCCTAATTTCCTTTATCTGTTCTTTTATTGTCTCTAATTGCTCTCCAGTTGTTACTTCTGAGAACATATTCTCTGCCATACAGGGCTCACAAAGAATCCCAGAGGTTTTCAGTAATAATCTTACCTGGTGAGTCTTCGATCAGCCTCACCTAAGATTTAAACAATTACGTATGCATGTCTATCTATGTATTATCATGTTATGTTCAATTTACCTCTCTGAGCTCATAGCATCCCTCTTTGTAAACAAGCTTTTCCACTTGAGTTGGTATTTTCCATCACAAGTTGTTTCTAAGATACTGCTCCAATGTAGAACAGTTTAGAAAGAAAACTGGAAATTTTGAAAAAGTTACGGTAACATAAATCCATATGGAAATGCAATGAATGGAAAGAATATCAAGGATATTAGGAAGCATTCTGTTATTAACTCTTCTGAAGTTCTTGGTATCATAGACATAAATATACCTCAACACTTGGAAAACTTTTGGTGGCATAATATTTTTCTGTTGTTTTGATTATTTTTTTGCTTTGTTTTGTTTAGTTAGGTAAGCTAAGTGGATAAATATATGTACACATATACACTACATGAAAGGGTTTGTTTCATTCTTAGGAAATCTGAATTTCAAACTTATTTTTTGTAAAGCATTTTCATGAAGATGAAGCACTTGTTGAGAAGCCCAGCCTGAACTTTCATTTCCTTTAGTTCAGCTATGAAAACCAAGTAAGAAAAGGGGCAGTTTGTAAGATCTAGACTGTGAAGGACAGAAGATTGTTTTTTTTCTCTGAAGGAGGGGCAAAGAAGATGTAATAACATATTAGCAATTTATATTGGCATCCTCTTAGCATCCTACAGCAGTCAGAGAATTGCATTTCAGTTGCACAACTTATTTATCGTGTAAAAGTGGGGACATTCTGATTATTCACTGCCCATGTTCATTGTAAATAAGCAATACCAAAATTGCATACTGAAAACTACATTTTCAGTGTATAGTTAAACCAGTAAAATCTATTTTAAGCTCTCCTGTCCTCTGCCCTTAGAAGAGGCAAGATGAGAAGGAGATGATGCATTGGTAGAACTACACTGACGTGCTTGTTTGAGTTGTACATCACACATTTCAGTGGACACCCAAGGGGTTAGCATAAATAATTCATGAGAGAGAAAAGGATGCTCTTTGTGCCTGGCTGCACACCTCTGTGCAGGGCACCAAAGTGCTTCTTGCATAAAGAGTGATGTGGAGCAGTCTTTTACTGGAGTAGAGTTCAGCAGAAAGTCCTCAGGAAGTGGTTGTGGGGAAGATGGTCCCATCCCAAAGCACTTAGAGTGGAAATTAGGAACTGCTGCCAGCACTTATAGAGAATCAGTCCTTCCTTAGGTACCTCTGCTGGGACCATTCGCTGGTCAGAAATGCTGCAGAAAAGATCAAAGGTGCAGCATTCTGCCATCAGCTGGGAACAGATGCCACAGAAAAATGGGAAAATCAGAAAATGAATGACCTAGGTTGAATAGGAAGCTTGTTCAGGTTTATGTATTTCTCAAGCAGTACAGCAATAGTCATTGTTGATAGAATCATCAGTGGCAAGTCTATATAAAGAGTCTGATAATCAGAACTGTAAATTAGAATATAATTTTAAAAGCCAAAAGCCAAGCTTCCATGCCAAGTTATAAAATGACATGAACCAGTTTTTATTGCCTTCAGAAAGATCTGACTCAGACCTAGGCCTAGGCGTGCTCAGCTACTGACTAAAGCCTGTGCAGATATAAATCTTATGGTGATTAACAACAGTGGTCAGCTGTAACTTCTCCTTTTTAGGGTACTTAGCAGTAGAGGAGGTTAGAGTAGGTATGGAGATTGTCATCTGCTCTTTGGATTTGTTCTTCATCTACAAGTTAGAGCTGCTGTCTACTTCTGTACTTCTGCTCTCTCATAAATTCTATAACGCCTGCATTACTCAGCTGAATTTTCTTTTGCTGTGGGGTCACCTAAGTAGAATACCTCACCTTGAGGTGTGTTTAGAATGTAAATATTGACAGTCATTTAAGTTCAGGTTCATCTGAGAAACTGTTACACAGAGCAATTCAATACTTTGATAAGTGCTAATGCTGTGCCTTTGCTGCAGTTAGATATCTGAACAGAAATTATTCCTATCATGTTAACGAATTTAAATCAAAGCAGTCTCACGCTGAGGTGACATTCATCATGGGCTGGAAACTTGAAAGAAAAAACATATTTTCATTTTAATGCAAGTATTTTGTTGTCAAGCAAGTGGCAAACTTGACAGTTTTGTGGAGTTAATTTGAGCTGTACTTGAGTTAACTCTAATAAAGTCAGGACTAGGATTTCATGAACCTGTTTCAATTTTGTTCTGGCTGATGGCACCATGGTCTCAGATGTGCCAGTCAAAGGCAATGAGTAACAGCATTACTCTCCCATATGCAGCTCACGCAACAGGAGCAGCAAATCTGTTCTTTTTAAAGATGATAACTTTTGGTACATGGGTGGTGTAGATGGAAAAGGGACTGCAATATTTCCCTATCTTCATTTTATCCCATTGCTCATTTCTTTAGCATGATTAAGTGTGCACTGAATACTTTTTCTCGAATACTGATTCCTTCAGTTTATTACAGGAGGAGCTCCGATGATTTCTATATATAGGTTGCTTCAAAATTTCCATTATAAAAGCTCTTCTGAACCCTTTAGAGAAATGCTGACACTATTATTATCATGTCCATGATATGTCTTTGGATTCTGGCAAGAAGAAAGCCTTAAGGTTAGAGAAATGTCTCTTTTTTGTTCCCCAAAAAGCCACTCAGCTATAAGCTGTTACATCTCTATTTCTCTTTTTTCACATTACTTCAGAAATTTCTGGCATCAGAAAAAATAATAATACCAGAATATTCAAAGGACTTGTCTAAACTTGGAAATTGTGAAGTGTGGCTTTTAAATCTGATATTTTGAAGTAACTTCACATGTATGCACTTAACTTTTATACTGAGGTAAACAGACATGCAGTTCTAGGGCAGCAACAAGGAGAGGCTGTTATTGTATGGCTGTTTTGGCTGTTTCAGAGTTTTCCTTCTTAACAACGAGTTCTTCTGAGGCTGAGCCACAGGAAATCCCCAGGTGCTGCAGGAAGGATGGTCTGGTCTCTTCACTCCCCTTTGCTGGGCACATCCTTCCCTGTGGTCAGCTCAGAAGAACAGCACAAGCAGCTTTTGTGGAGTATCTGGTTCTCTTTCCCTACATGTGCTTTGTGCTGCAGCCTTTTGTTGTGCAGACTCAGAGCTTTCCTTTTGCCCTGTGCTCATCTCAGAGCATGGTGCGTGCAGACAGAAAAAGTAAGGTCGCACAGTCATTGTAAGTTTTTCACTCCCTGACTTCTGAGTGCTTTACTTTGGTCTCCATACACTCAAAACCAGTTTTGGTGAGCAAAATGACATTTATTGTAACAACTGTATTGGTAAAAGTCACAGCCTTGGTAGAGGTACACTGGTGGAATGTCCCTCTTTTCACGTAAAATGTGATAATGGTGTAAAGCATGTTTGTACCTCTTGCCTCATGGAGATAATTGAACTGTAATGTTTGTACTCTTTCTTTCAGTTGGACACTTGAGGATTTCAATATACTGAATATACAAAGAAAAACCCTAAATACAGTGTATTTTTTCCTTTGGAAGGAGAAAGAACTGACTACCAGAGGACTATTTCATTTATTTAGTAATCTCTTCCCTATTTAGTAGGGAGGAGATGCTCAATTTGGCAGAAAACTGAAAATGTTTCAATATTAGAAATTAGGCATTGATTCTTAGCAAACAGAATTATTTACCAAAAGAAATGGTGTGTGTCTAGGTATCCTCAGATTAAGTCTTCATGTCTGTGTGAAAGGTGGGCTCTATTCCAACCAAAATTATTTAGTTCAAAGCAAGGGATGATTAAGGAAATTTAGTGGCTTCTGATTAGGGCCAGACTACATAATGCAGTTCTTTCTGTTTTAAAAATCCTGTTATTGTTCTCTTGATGCAATATATACAATGCTTTTAAAAATTGAAATTTAGCCATCCATTTTCTCATCTGGGAGCAATAAGACATTTCTTGGCATCCACTGCTTGCGTTTCAGGCTTTTAAGAGTGTTCTTCTTTGTGTCTCACAGCACACCTGAGGGATGCACAAATAGCCTGTCTGTGCCTGTATTGCTGTTGCTGAAGTGAATTCACTGTTTTGTAGTTCTGTCCTGACTCACAGCAGGCAGCATTGGAAGCAGATATTGGTGCCAGAAAATAGGTTTTGTATTAAAACAGCAGAAGCCAAAGCTGTTGCACTACAGAGCATTAGTCTCTCACTGATACTTAGCTGGCATGCAAATGTTAAGATTATTTTGTAAAAGCTTAATAACACTTAATTTGTAACCTGGAACTTCAGAACAAGAAGTCTTTTCTGCCTGTTTAAAAAGCAAGATTTTGTTTTCCTGTAATGCATTGAACGGGTAACAATTTCAGGTTGTGTGCTTCAACACAGCCAATTTTTGCTCAGTTAGGGAGCTGGATGAGAAATTCAGGCTTTGCTTATGAGTGTGCTGTCCCTGCATGAAACACTGTTCTGTATTTGACTCTATGATCAAAAGTTCATCTTCTGGAAATCACTGACTTAGAAGGAAATAATTTGAGCCACAACAGTGACACTGCTCAGAGCAGCACAAGCACTCTAATGCACTAATACAAAGGAAAAATAGATAATGAGGATGCAAAGATACTGCTTGGGTCTAAGTGGAATGTGAGGTAGGTCAGCAATGTCAGAGCAGGTACCCTCAATCCACATCTTGAGCAATAGTAAATGAAAAACAAAACAAACTGGATATGTGAGATAGTTAAAAGTAAGAACCCATGAAATGACAATCCTTACTGCTCTAGTTTGTACAGTAGCTCACTTGTTGTTATGAATAGCAGCAGCTAAATCCGTATGTGATTTCAAATTTCCTTGCCTTGTGCTACTTGATGAAACATCATCTTCATGCATTGATGGATTATTTTTTCCTTCACTAATCCTCATTTAATTTCCAATTCAAGGTGTCTTTAGTGGATATGGTGACTGGATGTTACATATTTGATTATTTCCTTCAGTTCAGAGTCTTCAATCTGAATTTTTCAGTGCTGTGTTTAATTTTTACAAATTTTTTGTTAATCATTTTTCACACTGTAGCACACCAAAGTAACACAGGTTGTTATTTCAAAGATCTTTTCAATAATTGCACCTTCACCATGTTTTTTTCCCTGCTCCTTTCACAGGACGTTACCCCAAACTTGTGTTTCACTTTGAACTCAAGAGAAACATCTTGTATTTCATATTAGAGACATACGTGCCATCAATCCTTCTGGTTGTGCTCTCCTGGGTGTCATTTTGGATAAGCCAGTCATCGGTTCCAGCCAGAATCTGCATAGGTGAGAAGCTGATAAACCAACCCAAACCAGGGCTGGATCACTGAGGCTCCTCCTCTATTGGCATCCGTGTCCCGAAGGTGCAAACACTTCTGAGTTTCATGGAATTACTTTTTGGGCTGGCCATACTCAGTGCATCATGTGGATTCCCCTTAAAGCCTTACTATTCTTTAATTAAGAAAAGTGCCTTTGGCAGCTACAGGAAGGAGATTTATAGGCAGGGGAGGCCACTGAAAGCAAAGCAAAAACCTGTCATTTTGGAAATAATTTAAGCATATTCAAATACATGGCCTGCACAGGCAATTGTGAGGCTTTTGTGAGGTCTCACCATACATACTAATTAAGACATGAATAACAAGAGAATTATAAGAGATTAAATATAATTAATTTCAAATAAAGGATATTCTGAAAGGGAGAGAATGCAAATCAGGTTTGATCAAGCTGCAGGTGGGATGGAAAAAATACTCCTACAGAACAGGGAATAAAGAAGGATTTCACATTGAATGAGGCCAGTGGGCAACTACACTGAGAAAAATGATACCTGAATATTTTAAAGGGACCTTTTGCATAGATTTGCAATAATAATATGTTAATCATAATTATACATTCCATGACACCAAAATCTCTCTCATTTTAATTTCTAGTGTTCTCAGCTTTGGTAACATTTTCTGTTACTCTTTTAAAGCATTTTACTTAAGAGTCACAAGTTAATTTTAAAGTCTTCTTCCTAAAACATGATCCATTAAATGCTGTGGCATCCTAGGAGTTTCAGGTCCAGGGAAAACTCTCCTGCAGTAAGGCCCTTGCAGCAGAGGCCCTCAGTGCCATCTGTGTTATACCAGAACACGTATTTTTCCATTCCACAGGTGTCACCACAGTCCTTACGATGACAACACTGATGATGGGAGCCAGGACTTCACTCCCAAATGCTAATTGCTTTATTAAGGCAATTGATGTGTACCTTGGTATCTGCTTCAGCTTCATCTTTGGAGCATTGTTAGAATATGCTGTGACTCATTTCTGCACTCTACACCAACTCAGCTCAAAGGAGCTTCCAAAGGTAAATTAATTATTTGGTGTTATTCTACAAACAGGATTTAAATTACATTTGCTAAAAAGAATTATCTTAGCGCTAATGGTAAATGTATTTAAGGTAGTTTCTTTTTTAGAATTAGGGCAGGGAAACATTATAATCTTGAGAAAAAGAAAAAGTATTTGTATACCTGGAGCTTTTCTGGAGGAAACCAAACACACTGAAGCACTCTTCCATCTCTCTTTTGGTATGGACTTTATGCCCTTATAAAAATGTTCTGGATGTCTCACAAAAATCACAGGCACTTGTCTCCCACGCAATAGCATTGACTCACAGTTCAAAAACTGGGCTGAGCTTGGTGCCTTGATCCTACTGCAATATGGAAAACAAAAAAAAGAGTTTATAGCATTCCATTTATGAAACCTGCACATGCATGGAACATGAGTCAGTCTCCTGGCAGATGTCTTCATGCGCTGAGTGCATCAGGTCCCTGTAGCTTTCTGCTCTCAGCTTCTCTTTCAACAGCTGCACCTGAAGTCAGACTGGGATCCATTTTCCCCTCGCCATCATTATAACAGTGCTTTTGTGGCTCTAAAGAGTTTCTCACAACTCTGAAATGCTGTGAAATATACTTAAAATGAAAATGGATGAAATCAACATAGGTATTTTTTGAGTCTGATGGTTGCTGAAATAATGAGGACAGGTTCATGAAGAGGTTTTGTCACATCTTCCATCTCCAGTGTATTGCAGTGCTTTCATAAGCAAGGAAAAATAAATCACAAGGAAGCTGAAAGATGATTGTCTTGCAGTTTTTAATTATGGAACTGAACCTAATATGCATGATAAAGAAAAATTTAAGCAGCTTATGAAATATCTGGATTAATAGAAAAAAGTAAAACATGGAAAATGAGAATAACAGGAAGGAAAAAAAAAGGCAGAAAGAAGTTTGGTTGTGCTGTAGGGATAAATGTCCAGAAGCAGAAATATTGTTAACTGTTTAAGCCAAATTAGAACAGAGCATCACAAATGCCTAAGCAAAGCTCCTCAATATACTCAAGAAATAGGATATTGAGCTCCTGTGGAGGAGCTTCAAAACCTTTTGAAGATCGGGCAATACGTGGGTGGGGGGGGGTTATGTCTAGATAGTTAATCAATTAATGAGATTTTGGCTGTTTGGATGAAAGATAGGTCCTGCAAATGCACAAGAATATGTTAAAAGCTGTCCAGGTGTGTGGAGAAAGACTGCAAAATGGACACAAAGCTGAGACACCCCAGTGGGTTTTATGAGATAATGTCTATTGGGGATTGTCTGCAAATGGGCAAACACTCCTTTCAAGTGAGGATTTGAGTGGAAAGCCTATAAGTAATTTTTATTGGCAAGGTAACATCAGTGACAATTCCCTGTGAGCATATCCATCTTGTGAAGTAAGTGGTTGTCATTTCGCTCATAGTGTACAGAAAAAAAAGCTGCTTGGAGGTTTGGGTATGAAAGTAAAGTGTTTCAGTGCTTGGGTGATTAAGCATCTTTGGATCTGTGAAGGGCACTTATGCTGTCCTTGCCTTCACCTGCCTCTGTCAGATTCCCTTTCATCTGGAGCAGGTACTCATGCTTGCAGATGGGGTGGACATGGGAACTTGTGGACTTCAAAAATGTGCATGGAAGTACAACTGTAAAATGAGAAAGGAAAGTTTTGTGATGAACCTAATGACCAAAAGAAATTGTCTTTCATGTCAGGCTTTTTTCCCTGCCTTCTGCTGGGCCTCAGGAGTGAGCAAACAAGCCAAATGCACTTCTTGCCCACGCAAACATAGGGGTATAAGAGAAGGAACAGTTTTTTGGTCCTAGATCAACTTGTGACTCTCTAGAATAAGGAAAATGCTTGTCATGTCCTTTTCCTACTGTAGCCAAGGGCAAGCACTGCTTACTGATCTAGGTGTCATGGAGAGCACACCTGACTTGTATTTCTCATTTCTTGTTACAAAAACAAAAACATCACAAGGGCAAAAATATCAGCTAAAATCTCATGTCACTGTCTAGCAGGTACTTAGCAATTTATGTGTGAGTATCGTCACTGTGAATGTGTTGTCCTCATTATCGTATTCTCTTGTGGACACAGGTTAATTGGAAATCTCACGTTCCCAGTTTGTTATTCCCATATGTGAGCTGATAGAAAATTTGCACTCAGAATTATGTAAATAAATGTAGGAGGTGAAATGGAAATGTCACCCTCTCTCTTGTATAAAAATTAGCTGTACTCACTTGCTTCCCGCTTTGCTCTTTGAAGAAGTTGGGCACAGGCATATCAAACCCCTCTGAAGCCCCTGAGATCTCCAGTTTAGAACATAAACTGGTGAAAGAGCTCACCATATCCATGCTGTAGCAATGTTTCACACCATGTGAACCAGGACCCACAGAGACACCTTCAAAGCTAATGGCAAAAGCAGAGGAACCACCTGCTGCAAGGGAGGTCAGGCAGAATGTGCCATTCACATCAGCTCCAGAGCAGCAGGCTGCTTCACAGGAGAGGTTGCCTCTCCTCAGTTTCTTCTCTTTAGTATAAAGGCATTAATTGTGCCCTCTTACAAAGCACAGAAATGTTCCTTGGATTTCTTCTGTCTTTTACCTAAACCTCCACTGTTAAGGCAGAAGGGAGAACAGTTTGAAAACTGCAAATAATTTTATAAGTGTGATATTCAGCCTCTGTGGTATTTCTGTGCAAGCCTCACACAGCCTTTATGAACACCACATAAGCTCCAGGTGTGCAACACTCTGGGTTGAAATATTTTTAAGCTTGAGCAGCTTTATTATCTAGTGAAAGTGACAAATTTTCTCCAATTCTGTTGGCTCTTGGATGTCAGCAAACACTTCACTTAGCGTAAACAGCAGGCCCAGTATCAGGTGCCATAGGCAGTGCTTTCTGGGTGATGTACAGCATCTTTCTTGAATGGTACCAATTTGGTGTCTAAATAGGGCCCTCCTTAGTGCCAGCTGCCATTTCCTCATTGACAGCTGGCATCCAGAAAAAAACCTAGTGTGACATTTAAAACTGGAGCCACAGCTGAACACTCACAGCACAATTTCTTTTTTTGATACAGTGTAAACCGGCTCAGTCTTTCATCACGCTCAGTTCTTCATAGCAGTCTATAAAAGCGCCTTGATAAACCCTCTCTATAAGACTGCAGTTTTTTACAAATTAGCAGGTATGGTTCTCTAGACTAGCTCTGTCCTTTCCAAGCGATGTGATCCAGCACTTTTGCTGTAACCTCCCCTCTGTTTGCAAGAGCCCTGCCTTGTTGCACTGCAGATAGAATCCCGTACATATGCACTGCTTACAGTATTTTCTGCTTAAGTGAGAACTGCCCCTTGGGGAGCTGAAAGGAGTCAGGAGCAGCCTCATAACACATCAGCCTCCTGGGAATCGCTCACATGCGTTGTGAGGAAGGAGAAGTGGCACGTACACAATGTCCTTTCATGCTCTGAAATAAAACTAATTCTGAACAACCGATAGCCATCCTACCTGAGAGAAAAATAGACTCTTAAATTGAGCAATGCCCCAAATCCTGATGGTTTTGAAGTACAGATGTCATAATGAGAAATGAAAGCAGGGGGAAAAAGTCAGGACTCTTCTGTCAGGTTCCTTTATTTTTTTATTAACCTTTGAAGTGCTGAGTGCATTCATTAGGCTGTTGCTCTGGTGCCTCATTTCAAGTGCCAGGCATTCCTGACAAAGGCTCCTCTGCCATCCCCAGCACTCCCCTCTGCCGCCTGGACTTTTTGAAGCAGAAGAAAGAGAGATTTATAACAGAGTCAGGCCTCAAGTGAAAACTTGAGGTTTGAATTTTAGTACTACCCTGGGGATTATGTAAGGTTCAGACTGGAGTTTTATGGATTGATCCTCTTAATGCTTTATGGGCAGATTTTTGTCCCAGTATTTCACTGAGGTGTGGGAGGCCACGTGGAGGATGACCAAGGTTTTTTTGGTCATTGTATTTTTAGGATGATATGTGTGTTGAGCTACGTTTATCTCTCAAATAAAATATCCCTTTTTTTTTTTTAATTGAAAGTGGAAAGCTGCATTAATCCCTTTTCTACTGCCATTTGTTCTGCTTCACTGATTCACAGCAGTTTGAGGACATTGTCCAGACTCCACTTTAATTTTCAAGGGTGTCAGTAATTTTAGATGAAGAAGACAGGCTTGTGCTGTACACATGCACCCTGGGCAGAAGAGCAATTCTGTACCAGCATGGAGACCACTTAGGTGGCTTAATTGGCTTTCTTTGACTTTAATAGCTGGCGTGTACCTAAATGAGCTTTTTGTCTGGCTGCACATGGGGATGTACATCTCAACCTTTCAAAAGTTTGTCCTTGTGTAAACTGTTTCTTCTCATGATGCAAATGGAAAAAAGCAAGTTGGTCAGAAGAAAGAGATTTTGCATTCTACACTTCACAAATAATTTTTTTAGACTTGTCTTACATTTATGCCACCTACTGATTTGGGAGGTAATAAAACTATCAGGAGAAAATAAAAATTGTATGTATGCTTACCTGAATTAAAATGACCCCTGGTCAAAGTATACATAATAAGGTTTGGTTGAGATACAAAATTGGAGCCAGTCTTTGCAGCTTATTTCTGCTGGTGTCTCTACAATATCCCAAGCCAGACTGAATACCCCAGAAATTCCAAGGAAGTTTTGGAGCTGAAGCTGCAGCTGATGTCTAATCCTGTGTCCTCTGAGTCAGTAACAGAAAACACACTGACTTCAAAGGGTGGAAATTTCATACATGAACTTTATGGCTCTGAGCCATTTCTAATCAGAGAAACAAAACCCACCAGAAGGCTTATACAACATTCTCCAAAGACATGCCTTGATGCACTGAAGCACATAAAAATATTCTTTACCCTAGCATAATTTAGAACTTAAAGCACCGGTTTCAGGCCTTGACAGAAAGTATCACAGGCTATTAAGTCAGCTGCGGGTGGGGCTTGTCCCTCTTTATTTTTAAAGTCACTTGATTTTTATCACAAAGCACCAGAAAGAGGTAGCCAGTTGCACACAAGGAGAGCACCTTTCATTCTGGGGTGCTTGATTTGGGGTGCAGCCAGCTCATCTGGCTGGCCTGGCAGCTCCCCCACCCTCTCCATCTCCAGGCTGGGGCTTTGCCTTCACTTCTGGGCAATAACCTTTGCCAGTATTTGCCCTGAGCAGGAGACAGTTTACTGTTGTGCCTTTCAGGGATTTGCTGATATCTTAAGTAAAGTTCCTTGTCTATATTTGAACAAATCCAGATTTTCTTGACAGTGCTTCAAAAGTTTTTGCTGTATAGTATTGCTTAAGCCAAAGTTTTCCCCATAAATGGAGGCTTTGAGAGCTGAAAGGGGCTGCCTGGTGCATGCTTGTCCTTGAAGTTGAGGAGTGAAACATAGGAGGAGTCAGAAGAAAAATCCCATTTGCTGCAGCTCTAAATAAACAGGTGATGAAACATGCACTTAAGTACCTGCTGTTGTGTTCCCTATCAGATTATTGATGATGATGATGATGAAGAAGAGAAGAATGCAGTCCTGGCAGCAGTGACAAACAGTTGCAGTGCCCCTGACAATACAAACAAGACTGACTCAAATGAAAACAAACAAAGCAGCAGTGACAGAAAAAGGGAGAGGAGTCAACACAGAGTGTGTAATTCAGCAATGTCGGTAATGAAAAGACTTTTCTGTATCTTTGACTGCTTCCATGTTAAAAACCCTTACCACATAGACAACTATGCCAGATTCTCTTTCCCGTTATCATTCATCATAATTAATGTACTTTATTGGGTGTATTATTTGTATTTCTAAATATTTTCTTTTGTAATATTAGTTTAAAGTTTAGAAAGTGGACATGGGAGGGGAAGTTGAGGAAAAATGGAGAAATTACATTTGGATAAAGGGATATAAAAGGACATGCCAGCTTTTCAAGTGTGTCTGAAATTTTTGTTAACTCACTTTTATGCATTTAAATGTCTGTCATCCAAAACTGGCTTTGTATTAGCATGCATGTCCCAAACTACTTATCAAAGGCCAAGAAGTCCTTTTTTAAAATATTTAATGCTTAACTTTGTAAAATAAGACATTATACTTGTTTCTGAACTCCATTGAATAAATGTAAAAATGGAATGAAATGTTGTTTTCTGCTCTCTGTACTCAGCTCCTTCTAGGTTTGTCAATTATGCATACATTTTCCAGATTATATAAGAAAATATTTAATTGCAGACCAAAGTGGTTTTGCTATGTAGCAAGAAACAGTTCTGAAGACATGACCTACCAAACAAATAATCTGTTCATCTTTGTAAGGTCACAAATATGTATTAAGATCCCTCTCCATTTTTAGACACCACTCCCATAGTCATCCATAGCTTTTCTCAGTAAGTGCAGGGCAGACTACAGAAATGGACTGCAGCCAAAAGGTTTAAATCCAGAGAGATGTATTTCTGTGAGTGAGGATTTAGTTGTTCACCAATCCTTAATGGAAAATGGGAATTTATCCTGACATTTATACTCTGTACTCTGCTCAGTCACAACTGCCTGGGTAACTACTATGTGGAGGAAAAATTTGATATGCTTAATTTTCAGCTTAGTAAACCCTCTTGAACTACATGCAGTTAAAAAAATTTCAAATAAAGGTGGAAAACTTCTTGAATAGAAAAGAAAACCAAACCTGTATGTGTGAAAGCTCTTGATAAGATAGGAGAAGTTTTACACAGATAAAATGATGACCCACATGAGAAAATGGTTACAGGTGATGAAAAACCATAAGTCTTTCCAAGTTGTCACTTCACTGACAGATACTACAAGCCTGTCTCCTGCACTGCAAGCATGGAAGTTGAAAGGTGTTTATTATTATACCTTTTTCCTGACCATAATGTATTTATCTGTTCTATATATAGGTATAAATGTGTGCATGTGCATTTATGCACTGTGTATTTCTGCTGATCATACTGCACAACATGCAAGTGCATTGAAAAGCTCCCCTAACATGGGCAGACTTGGACACACCTGATTACCAGGTGAAGAACATCATTACATGAAGGAAGGAAGTGCAAAATACCAGTGTGAGACAGATTTGCCCTTGCTCCCATCTAAATCCATAAAAATCATTGCACACTGGTAGACAATTATTAGGTTACTAAAATCGCCTCAGTATTTTTATTTTCTAAGGGTTAACTACTGAAAATTTGTTTCTCTGCTGCAATTAGTAATTTTTTTTTGCAAAGCTTATTGGGACAATGCAGCTTCAAGAACAGTCTAGGGCCTCTTGGTACCTTGTGGCTATTCTGGCTTTCATACTAAAGCAAATACATTCAAGAAATCAAATTAGGGCTGCTTGTGTTAATGAGCAACCAAAAAAAAAAATCTATTCTTTCATTTAATATTCTGCTACTGAATATTTAACTTGAAACCCTTTATTCAGGAAGAGGCTGCTTGACATTTTTTCTTGGAGGTGTAAAACTGGACTCTAATTTCCAATTCCAAAACTGGACTCTTTCCAATTCTCACTCCCATAAAATTTACAGAAGACAAATATTAAATCTTTGTACTTTTCTTGATTTTGAAGTTTACATTGTTCCTGAATCTTTTCAAACAGTTATCTGTCATGTAACATGAAATTTGGGATTAGCTGCAAGCATGAAGTAAGCATTTAGAGTTTTGTAGCTTCCAATTAATTTGGAGACAATTCACCTTAAATATTATTTTTTAAAGCTGTTGAAAGTCTGAGAATTTTTATTGACAATGCACTAGCTGAAAACAGGGTCTGTTTTCCCACTGATGTGCTAATTGTAAGTAGTGTTATACAATGAAGTTCCCCATGTTTTCATGAAAGAATTGACTGCACAGCCAGATTATTCATTATTTTGCTTTGCATAATTCTGAATTAATTGCTACTTTCAAAAATAAAAAATGTGAATTTATTGTAAAAGATGTTCCCTATGGATTTCCTGTATGGTGCATGAAGAATGAAGAAGGTCATTTGAATTATCCTGCTCAAACATAGCTTCTGTCCCTAGAAACTCCCAAATCCCTTGGAGTTAGTCATAAAGGCTCCCCTGAGTAAGGAGCATTCTTGAACAATTCACTGAATGCTACAATTCAGAGGAAAGTTAGAGAGGGGGAAATCTCTTTCAGTGCTAAGATCAGGGGCCAAAGTTGAGGCTGAGGGAATGAAAATTACATTGGTTTCATATCTGATGAAAATACCTTGGGCTTTTGGCAACCATTTTCTGGTTGATAGCTGAGTTTCTTAGTTTGATTTTAATGTTTAGCAATCAGATTCATAATTCAGAAATGTTGGAGTTTGAGACTTGAGGCAGATGTGCAGTGAGGGGCCCGAGGCAGGTGAAGGGGGGTCCGACAGGAGCTGATGATGCATCCTCCTGCAGTTTGCTTTGCTCCTAGCAGGACGTGCCCTCCTTTCCATGGATCTGAAAGCACCAGCCAGCCTGAGGAATAACTTTCCTTCCTTTGTGCAATGTCTCCAAGCTTCATCTTTTAATTGATTCAGCAGCCGTCACATAGCTGTTTAAGCATTGTGCAGACTAGAAAAATACCTCTTACCTTAGCAAGATCTTTGATACGGTTTTCTTACCAAATCAAAAAGCATTATGAAAACAAAATCCTATGCTGAGATATTTAATCAGATATAGTATTTTATTATTTTTTTAGATTTAAGACATTTGAAGGTATTAACACTTGCTACCTTTCCTCTTCATCAATTATCTGGTGTTCTTCTGATTCAGCTGTGCTTTAGGTAAGTATTTCCTGCAGCCTGCTTACTGTGGTGCCATTTGCGATACTTTGAGAATATTTGAAATCAAATCAAATAAATCAAATAAATGAAAATCAATAAATCAAATCAATAAATGAAACCTAAATCAAGGGGGAAATATAAGGAAGTTGATATTTTAGATCAGATATTCATTAAACCTCTCATAAGCTAAGAAGGCATTTTAGGTCACTATCAGATAATTTGTTTTAAGACATGAACAACTAAATATCCCATCTGAATACTTGCCATCAATCAATACATATGGCAAGCATAAGAGAAGGGCATCCATCTGTTGATCTGAGTATCCATTTTCAGCACAGTGGCCTTGCTTGGTAAGACTGCAACAGTAACTTAAATAAATTTTCCTGCTTTGTGAGCCTCATTGTGTTTTTGTGCTAATTATTTTAAGAGAACTGTTATGCCTTCTGGCATGGGAAAACACATTAAAAAAAAAAAAGAAAAAAAGGTGCCCCATATTGTCACCTTGTTATTCAAAATGAAATTACCTAAAGGATTATAAAGAAAACCCACGTACAGTAAAGCTGATGACAGAAAAACAGAAATACCAGGAGGTGAATGTGCTGCTAGGAGCCCTTGGCAGTGGCTGGGGCAGCAGAGTGCCTGGAGCACCTTTCCCAGAGCAGCCTGGGCAGGGGCTGGGAGCTGGGGCGGCTGGAACAGCTCAATTCACGCGTGCAGCAGTAGATGGAGCTCATCAACTGCTCTTCATCACCCAACGAGCGAATGCACACGGCAAGGGCTGGTCAAGGAGGGCTCCAGGGAAAAGCTATTACAAGCTGACATTTGTACTGCGGTAAGTAACTAGGCCGTGTTTGTAGTGACAGATTAATTAAAGTCAGGCAGGACAGCAGTGTCGGGTGGACTATTTCTCACACTCAAGTTCTGCCTTCTCAAGCCCTGATTGCTGTTTCCACCACTGAGCCGCTGAAATCGAACATATCCTGCCAGTCCACAAAGTAACTTCATGACTGCAAAACCTTGTGTTTAAAGCATGAATTTTCTATCCTTCTGTCAAGGTTTTCTCCTGCAGGTTATAATGTTTCAAATCAAAGCACCTCAATATTTCAAGGCAGGCAGAATAGTGGCTCTATTAACAGTTTCCCTATAAAGATTTATGAATCCTAAATAGATGTTCTCAGGTAATTCACTGGCATACTGCTAACAGTTTCACAAAGATCAAGATAATTTAAAAAGCCATTTTCAGGCAAGAAAATTTCCCTTGAAAGAGGGCTGGTTGCAAAGGTGGGAAGATGAGCTGTGCTAGTGTTCTGGGTGCATTAATAAGTCACTGCAAGAATAAGCCATCTCGACCTGAGAGCTGAAAACTAGAGTGAATTTTTCTTGCAGAGTAGTGGGTGCTTGACAGTGCTTAAAGCAGCTAAGCTGGACATAATTTCAAACTCTGTAATGGATTTGCCATCACTTGTTCTACAACTTTATAATTAAAACCAGGGGTGCACTTTAATAACATTGCCAAATTCAGCTTTTCATCATTTTCCATCTGGAGAGATCTTTCTTCCCTGGTCCCATCTGACTGTCAAACTTTCCATCCTCAGAAAGGATAAGGGGGTATTTGGGGGCATTTCAGTCTCATGAGGTGAGTTTACTCATATAGTTTGGGTTCTGGGTTTCTTTCCAAATTGGAATGGACCCTATTTTCCTATTCCAGATCAAACACAGACAAAACTGCAGAAGACGAGAAACCCCAGAAGATTTTAGCACCATCACGTGTGTGCACAAACCATGAGCCTGATTAATTTTGAGATTCAGCTCTGAAGTTTAATCCAGATTTAACCACTGGATAACTTCATCTGTCAAAACACTCAAATATCTCCACTACTGTTGTTTTCCCTGCTGTAGCAGGTAGTTTTGCAACCTAGACAGTGAAAGGGTTTGATGTCAGGTTTATTTGATTTCTCCTAAAGGCAAGGGATTTAATCTTTCTGCTTTAGAATCAGATCAGGAATGTATTCAGAATAGCAGCTCTGGTTCTAGTTGGGGCTTGGCCACTTTGGGTGCAGAACAAGCTGACAAAATTATAAAAAAATTAACATGAGAGTACAAAATGGAGTTCAAACATGAATTACTTGTTGACATGCTCAGCTTGTCAGTGCCCCTGGTCCTCATGTTAAAGTCATGGATGTTGCATCTCAGAAACAGTAATAAATGTGAGATTGGTCACCAAGGGCAAAGCTGGCATTGCATGCACTCACATATTCTTGGAAAAGAGAGAAGAAGGGATTGTCTCCTCCTTTTCTATGTCCCAGTTTTGTTATTTATCGAGCACCTGCTTTGAAAGAGTGCCAGTACAAGGTGACCAAAAATGCTGCATTAATCTCTTCTACAGGAACCATCTGTTCATTATAGGCATTTGAATGCTGATCCATTAGACTTGTGTGCTGGACCACGCTGTGCATGTTTATAAGTCAGTCCTGATCAAAGTGCTTTCCATTCACAGCAGGATATTTTGGATATCTAATGAATACAACTGTCATTTTTGTGGGGTTTTTTGGGTGGTTTTATCCATGTTTGTGAAGAAAAGATCTGTAGGAAAAGCTTCCACCCTATGCTCAATATATGAGTTGGCTGCAGGGATCCAATCCAACCCTTGCTTACCTTGATAACCCTTAAGTGCATTTTGGAGAACAGAACTGACAGTGTTGACCTCAAAATAATAATATAGCAGATTAAGTCTGAAGACGTTTTTTAACTAGGAAAATATAAATCAAACCTTGCTCTCTGCTTCTTTATCAGGAAGATAAGATATTGAGCATTATTTTATCTTTCCCATTTATCATCTTTGTATAAGTATTGGGCTCAAGTATCATTACTTTTTGAGGTTATTTCATAATGAAAGATTCTGAGAGCCTTGTAATTTTTTTTCATTAAAAGAAAAACTAAAGTATGATGTGCAAATAACTATAAACTTTGAAGTCTGAGGCTTCCTATGCCCCAGGATAATTTTAATTCTACTGAACAACCTTTTCATGTAGTGCCAGTCCACATTTTGTGAAGCCTGATAATAGGAACTGATAGCTCTGGAGGCTTCCATAATTTCCATACAGGACTCCTTAGGGATGCCAAGTACATGGCTGACCCTGCACCATTTCAAACCCACATATTCTTGCATATGTTACTGTTCTTATTTCAGGTGTTACAAATGGCCAGACTAAAAAATGCAAATTCCTTATCGTGTTGCTGTCCTTACCAGCACATTCCAGCTGCTGGGTAATGGTAAATATTTTCATTGGTTGATCATTCTTACCATGCAGCTCCACCTGAATATTCTGTCATCTTTAAGGCCTGTTAAAAGCCAAAAGGAAGAAGAGCCAGTTCCTTTAATTATATTCTAATAACCTAAATTCCCAATTTCTAAATTGGGCCAATAACACAAAGTTGCATTTTCCTTGGGTTGACACACATTACTATTTGAGGAGACTTGGACAGTGCCTGACCCTTTGTTTCCACAGCCCGGCTGTGGATTTCTGTTTCTGTAAGCAAGTGCACACAATGGCCTGAGCTGGATTTCATTCCTGTCAGACACCTGGAATTACAACACAGCTCTTTACCAGCAGGATCAAAAGCTGTTCCTGGATGTTTTGCATGTCTGCACATACCTTTTTTCCAGCTCTAGCATATCCCTTCCCAGAAGGCTCTACATTGTTCTGTGATAATGTCAGGTCTCCAGATGCACTGCCATGCTGTACTAAAGATGACAGACGAACAAGCCAAAATCATCAATTTTAATGACATTTCAGCATCATCCTGGTCCTGTGTCATTCCTGTGTACACTTCAGCCATCAATCTGTGTTTGTCTAAAGTGGTTCATGCCAGAACTTTAAATGTGGAGAAAGCTGAAGCGGCCAATTTATTGTATTCTGACAAGGACAAGCCTCATCTGGCAATCCAGTGAGGCTGAGTGCATCTGGTTAATAGTGCATCCACTTTCTCAGATCCAAATTGCTCTGTTAGTTTTCATGACCCTCTTATCTCTGTGCTGTCTCCATCCACCCCGCTTCCCTTATCACATAATAGGATTGTGCCTGTATCTTCCAAT